CAACTGTGAAACAGAAGCTGGTTAAATGGGCTATATGTTGCTTGCATATCCTGTTCTCTGTTTAATAAATGTGTACACAGGAGCTTGCAGAAGCAATCACCTGCAGATTGACCCCTTGTCAGTGGTGGTAATGCTCATTTTCAAAAGATGAACTCCATCCTATGGGTTTGCAAATATTCTGGTGTGATGAGTGCTCCCACATGGCAGATGGTGATGCATAGACCATGTGCTCAAATTCTTCAAAGTCTGTTTGACTTGAACTTTCTGTAATGATGTATTGGCTCTCTGAAGAAGGGAAGGCTGAAAGGTCACCCACAATTCTCAGGTGACTGGTGGTAGTGGTCATCTCAATCTGAAAGGTGCATATACTTTCAGTTCTGTTGTGTCTCTTCATGTGAATCAAGATTCACCTGATGTATGCAATGACTGGCTATTATTTGAGAATCGCCTCTGCTGTTCTCTATTGGGGACTGTGCAAGTTTTAGCTAGATATATGTGGTGGAGGAAGGGGTGCAGGTAAGTACTCACAGTCAGAAAGCCACTGCTCTTGTCATCAGATGGAGGGTCATTGCGACCATCTTTGGCTTGTATAGACTAAAATGATCAGCATACAACAGCTGGAGTTTTGAATAATTTCCTGACCTGTTGCCTTCTTGACATGGGAGGATGGTGAAGAGAACAGGGACAAGATTGAACCATGTGTGTGATGTCACATAGGGCCCAGTCATTCACAGTCATGAGACCAAGCCAACTTCCAAGTGAGCTTTAGAGCAATGGATACTCATAGATTTTCAGATATTGCTGTAAAATACCTTAGAAATTGGTAGACACTGAGAGATTGTTGGATACAATGTACAAAAGATAGCAAACTGCACAGCATTGTTCCTATTACCATTCCTATCCCAGCAGATGGCTGACGAGCACAGTAGCACCATGTAGTGACAATGTGAGGGCAACACAATCCAACAATTGTTGATGATTGAATCACCAAACAGGCAACAAGCAAATCAGAGAGTAGTGAGTTGTATGTCAATCAATGCCTCAACATTTGTTCACAAATGGAGGGATTGACAGGGGTGTTATAGAGTGAGTGAGGATTGACAGCTGACAGGCACAATTGTGTGTGTGTCATGTGCATGTTTGGAATGATTAAAGCTTTGTGTTTAGAAACTAATGTCTAGGTATGGAAGTAAAAAGGAAGCAAAGTCTGTGGCTGACTATACAGCTTGTTTAGGGCAGGCACCTTATGTCCCTTGTCTGGTCAGTCCCGCATGATCTATGACTGACATCTCACATTCTGGGATATGTCCTTCTTGGAGTTGGGTGATTGTAGTATCAGCTGTCATTTGGGGTGTCATGCCATGTGACTGTGCTCTGATCATTGTTGATTGTAGCTGTTTGCAATTGATTTTAGGGATGTCCCCTGACAGACAAGCAAATACCATTCAGCAATACCTACTGACATTCATAGCAGCCTGGACAGCATTCTTCCTAGTAGATCCAAAATAGAGACATGCATGGTGATCACTGATTGCAATAATCCTCGAGATTCAGCCTTTTGTGTAAGAGTGGCATCCTAACTGTTTGCAAGGAGTGGATACTGTATCTTGTGCTAGATTCAAGATTAATCAGTGTCATTTTCACAATCTGACAACAACTTACAAGCAAAATTCAGTCAGATTGTGCATGGATTCATGGTAGCTCTTTGGTGATGTCTGCTCAAAGTTAAAGAGATACTGCAACATTTCCATATAGACACTAATGTTGTTGGGGTCTTCCTTGCTGAATTCTTTGTTAACAAGGCGGCCAGTGCTGTAGCAAGAAAGGAGATGATGCAGCTGATAGACATTAAGCTTTGTTGTTGAAATCAGCAAGAATCTTACTCACTAAGGTTACTGCAAATGCCACGAGAGGCCGAGGCAATGGGTCAAAAAGATCTGGATGTTGACCTGTATCTCCAAAAGCTCCAGAAACTTCATAGCTCAACTTGGCCAACAGCTTTTTCACTGCTGGATGTAACAGGGAGTTGAGCAGGGCAAGGTGAACCTTGGAATATACAGTCAGGCTTTCAGGGAGAAATTGATCATTTGCACGTACTGCACCATGACCCAAGTCATCAAAGATGAAAGCAGCCTCTTGCAACAAGGCTGTGAAGGCCTTGGCTGCTAAATTTCATGCTTTGAACAACTGCATTTCAAGCTGATCTTTTCTCACATTTCAAGTCTCAGCATTCCAATCCTTCTGAAGGGCCTCAGCACTTTCAAATAGCATGAATGCCTTTTTATATTCTCGTTTGGCAATCTTTATTGCCCAGACCTTGCTGTGATTGCAATACCAATAACCCATCTTTCTGATCTGGTCAGGGAGTCAACCAGAGCTGTTGTGCTATGAGCATTATGATGATGCTTACCACCAGCTGCTGCCCCAGAGATGCCTGCAAGTCAATTGTAGGGAGACCACGCTGGAGCACTTTGCTATTCACCAACTTGATTGCCTCCTCCTCATAAGAGGCATCCTCACCTGAGCTGGGGTATGGATTGCATGTTTCATGGAAGACACAATACCATTCCATGCCAATTTGGAGTGTACTCTGCTCATCCTGGGAGTAATAAGACAGGTCATTGGATTTCAGTTCCCTTTCAACAACCCAGGCTGTCTTCCCACACTGTGCGGCACTAGGCAATGATGTAGCTGAGGAGCTCAAAGGCAACTGTGAGTGGGGAAGTGACTCTCAATGTAGAGCTTCACTGCCTGATGACAGATGACACCCAGAGCAACAAGGTTGTTGATGAGGGATGGACAAAGGAACCTTGCTTGGACTACTCAGATCAAGTTGCACTGCCAATGCATTGGCAACTTTCCTTCCAATGCACTTATGTGAGGGGAGGAGTTGATGGGGTTGTGAAGCCCTTGCCACCCTCCTAGATGAGTACAGCATTGGGATTTCACTTGGCAGAAGAAGTCAGAAGTATAATGTGTTGACATAATGGGAGCTCACCAGCAGTAGCTTGTTTTTCATCTCTGCTGGGCCCCTCAAGATTGCAACAAGGGGCATGATCTCCAGGTTGAGCAGGAGAAAAGGGTGCAAGAGTACTGTTCTGGTGATACTGGGGCAGTCCTGCACCTGGCCAGCTGGCCAGGCATGGGACTGCACCTGGGACCCATGGGTGTACTGCAGTGCCAGTCATGTGAGACCCCTTCCATTCAAAGGACTTAGATCCATGGACCATTTGTGGTGCAGTCTGCTGGGCACTTATGGTTGGTCCTGTCTTTACTTCTTGAAAAACACACTAGAGAAAAAGATAGGACTCCCAAACACACTGAATGCCTCTTTTTATTGGGTTCGACCAATTGTGTGTGTAACTGACATCTCTTTGACATCTCTGGTAGCAGCCATAGCATCTGCGACCCTATGGGGCGCTTTGGGAGGACCCTGACAGCTGCACAGCCTTATAGAGTCTTCATAGGAGTCGCACCCCACTGTAGCGAAGGTTTTTTACTGATGTATGCACTTTTCTCGCGCTTTCGCATCGCCTGGTGCGACCTTTATTCACTCTGATTCAAGGCCATGCAGCTCGAGTGTGCAGCTCGCAGAAGAAAATAAGCCGATGGAACAACTGGAATCGTTGCGCGCACATCATAAGTCTCTTCTCCAACTTTGCGTGCCCCGTCATCGCCTGACTAGTAGTGCAGTGAAGGAGCAGTAGAGAAGGCACTAGCCTGAGGTTGTCTTCAGGGACGGCCGGTTCTGCACGGCTCGGATTGGAAGGGAATCAGAGCGCCTGTCGTATCCAAACCCGTCCGGTGTAAAGTCGTCCTCCCTTCATTTGAGCTAATTCGACTGAAGGAGTCCAGGTGCTCGACCTTCCGGCTAAGCCCTGGCCCATAATCTCGCGCCTCAGCAAGCCTTAATCAAATCTTCATGCTGATAGGGACAGTTCTGGTACGTGAGGGAGAGGGCTTCCACGCGCTGTGGGCGAGTGAGGTGGGGGAAGGTGCTTATGGGGATAACATATGGGCATGCTTAGCAAGGGGAATGGGGATGGTTTTGGGGTTGAACGGTTGAACGGATGGTCAAGAAAACTGGATCCTACCGAATCGAATTGACAGATTGTTACTAGTCTGCCCTGCTCAACCGAAAAGAGTCACAGCAAGCGACAATTGTTGTACGACCCACGATCACTATGCGGCTAGATGGCTCAACGAAGTGAATCATGTCCTGATCGGATACTGTACAATGACTCGAATGCAACGTTTCGACAATGAGTTGGTCCCCTGAAGGCGAGCTTCATACGAAGGTTACGCGCAATCTGAAACGTTCCGTGTCCTAGCTCCAAGGGGCAGTTTCATCATACCACGTCACAACGGCAGAAGGTCCAGAGTGACAATTGATGCCTGGGAGTCCGCTATCCTGGCGTCTCGGACCACTTGCGTGGCAACACAATAGTCATTACCCGGTGAGCTTTACGAGAGAATTCCCATTCACTGCCTTCGTCGCTGGACATTCGTCCTTAATGCTAGAACAAGACCGACCAGGGGGTTTGTGATTGTATAGTGAGGGACCTGTTCAAAACCGTTGGTGTCTAACTAAAATGGCACGTTCGCTCACCTGAAACCGGAGCCGACAAGTTCCGTGAGTCATTCCGATCCGTTACCATCCCTACAACTCCCTATAACTGAGTCACCAGCCACAACTCATCGTGAAGAGCATGCAGCTCAGGGTTATGCTATCCTCCTCGTAATGAAGGCACAAGGAAAAGCGTGTGAAGGGTGTAAGGCGTTGTCTTCCAGCGTGAGAAATCTAATCTACCTTGGTCAGATAGATTCAGTAAGTTTTACTCCCCAACTCTTCGTTTCATCACAACCTAAGGTACACCATATAAGCAGCCTGATTTGCCAGTAGCCACGATGTCACGAGCCGGTCTCATTCCCCATCACATCTTCAACACATCTCCGAGGTGCTGGTCACTTCTCAACTCGTTATACCATCTCCAACAATCATGTTCTTCGCCAAAGCTGTTCTTCTTGCTTGGACCATCGCCATCCAAGTGACATTTGCCTACCCTGTCCGGACGTTCGATTCTCGGGACGAAAATCTGTTGGAAGCAAGAGAAGAGCTAGTGAGCTTGTGAGTAATACGTACTTCGTATTTGGCATTCGTTTCTCACCCTATACCAGGCAAACACGGTCGCCAGAATCAATAGATGTGTTGGGTGACATTCTCTTCTTGTCAGTATTGCTCTTTCGTATGATTGTGGATGCTTCTGTTGCTTATATTGAGGTTTCATGACACTGTAGGCGTTCTACGGATGATGCCGAATGGGAAGATGAACTGTGCGTGTTTTCATGACAGTTGTATGCTGTAGAGATTGATCATTCCGTCATGCCACTAGAGAAATGCGCCATAATCCGCTCATTGCGCCATTGAAAGGTACCGTGGGTCGGATCACGTCAAATGTCAAAGCCGTCACCCATAAGATCGCACATCCTGTGGAAACCTGGACAAAAATAAGGAACCCGCCTCTGGATAGGGTTGCCAGCACACGGTCTCTGTACGGAGATAAGCCAACTCTTGTCGACAAAATCAAGGCCTCAGTGCACCCCACAATCAAAGCCGTACTGAACCATGTTACCGGGAGAAAGGATTCAACTGATTCCACATAAACATGTTGGCGGACCGCACCAAGCCCTGTCGGACCGTGTCGAGCAAGCGAGTGGACCGGCTCGGACCGTCTGGTGGTGGATGGCTAGAGATGTAGTTGAGATATTGGGAGGAGTCGGGAGCGGGATCGTGGTGCGAGACATTGTCATCCAATCGAGTAGTGCAAATTGTAGAGATCTGAGTAGAGGCACAAGCGACGCAGGATATAAGGGTGCGCACCTAGGTAGCCATGTCCAATCTATCTTCCTGCTCAATTCCTCCCTCGCCCCAAGCCCAGCGAGTGTTGTCCAAGCGAGTCGTATTGTTGTTGCTGACGCGTCGCCTGACGCATCAACACCATCCCGCGCATCGTTGTAACCTGCTAAGAGAACATGTTTAATTCACGACACAATCGATTTACGGCGCTCTCTTTTACCCACATGTATTCTTTAGTACAAGCCAGGATTGCACTTAAAATGAGGCCAGTGCGCTGTTAATTGAAGGTTTTGACCTGCCACCAGAGGATCAAAGGGAGCCGTTCCTATGCTCTCCTCTCCTCATATTTCTATGTCCCTAGATTTGACAATCGCAAGTGCCGTCCGCCTTCGGTGAATCTGCGGGGCGCATGGGATCAAAATGGTGCGTCGTAGCATTGGAAATAACATTCGTTTGATTCAATTGCTTCACTGAATTCGAGATTCAGTGAGACAATGGGCTGTAACTCTCAAGGGAGATTCCTTCCTGCCCCTAAAGCAGGTGTTGACACACTGACTGAGCCGGACTGAGGCAAAAAAAAAAAAAAAAAAAACATCGTTCGCTACCTATTGAACCATTGAGAAGTGGGTGAGTGGATTCGGCATGCCGATCCGGGGTAAGGAACGCTGGTATAACAAGAAAGCTACAACATCCAGCAATCACGAGAATGCATCTGCGTCGACATGTTCTGAATACGATGCAGGAACACTTAACTGCAAGAACCATCGTCCGTCCAGACGCCTGCTGCCCCTCCAGGCAGATCGTTCTCAGTCCACCATTTGGCCGTCCAAAGGTCGCCGTTGTATGTAACCTGTTACATCATCAGCCAGAGAAGAGGACGAAGAAGGAAGAAAACCAACCTGGTTACCCCCGACATACGCGACACCACTTGACCAAGCCGAGATACCCGAACAAATACCTCCAGATGCTGATGACGTAGGCATAGCCCCTCCGCTTGTAGTCGTGGCAGGCGGAGGCGGGCTACCGCTCACGGGCCATGAATCTGCACGTACAGCTTCTATCCAAGGGCTAGCCGCATCGGGGTACTGTACGTAGTATAGTACTTCAGAAACTGGATGCGTATATTTGACCTCAGAAATGGCTCACCTCCCACGTCATAACACCACCGCTCCAGCCCATACTCTGTGCCTGCTGCACGCATCCAGCTAAGATGGTCGTGTCCATGTAACCATTGGACGCGTCAGCAGTGTTGGCTGGTTTGCCTATGATCAGCTTATTTAACGCGACGCCTCCGTTCGTGTTGATCTGGAAAAGCGCCGAGTTTGGCCAGGACGTGCTGGACTGTGTCAGCAAACCTGCACAAGTCGTATATTCCGACGTTCCCTATAATCTTTCCGTTAGTGATATAGCATTGCTTATAAATGTCCGGATGTACCTGATTGTAAAACTGAACATTGTACCAGTCGATCAGAGAGCCGACATTGTTGTTGACGGTGACGTAAGCTCCTGAAGAGTACTTGGCAGTACCACAGAACCACGGCGCGACAGCTATTCATCCCTTAACAGAGCGCAATAAGTAAAAACTCAGAGTACTTACGCGCGTGTGTAAGGAGATACTGGCCGGCGGGCAGCTGAGCCCTCAGGGCCTGGGTGAATGTCGTCAACCAGGCTTCCGCACTACCATCCTGGGCATTCATAGCGGTGAAGTCCTCATAGTCCACATCGATTCCTTAGTCACTGTTAGGAGTAGAAACCACCACAGGCTTGTTTACATACCATCGAGGTCATACTGCTGCACCCAGGCAGCAATCGTGTTCGCTGTGTCCGTGGGGTCGTCCCCGGAAGAAGTTGGGGTTTCGGTGGAGCCAAACGCAGACACCATCAACTTGATACCAGCAGCGGCATATTCAGACTTGATGGTACTGCGAGTGGTTGCATCCAATTCCTCCCAATTCTGCGCTTGATCAACAGCACCTGAGGCCGTCACGAAGGAGAGAATGAAGACATTGAAGCCCTTCATGGGATGTCACATGACGAGCAGGACACTAAGAAGACGGAATTGAACTCACGTAGATGTCTTGAACTGAAGGTGCAGCCCCTGTCACCCACTGGGAGATGACTTAGCTTAGTATACCGAGGGTAGATAAGCAAGATCAGGCCAGACCTTGTCCGAATAGGCAGCAAAGTAGGGAGGTCCGCTAAACTGACGCCTGTGAAGGGTCGAGTTCGAGGTAGCTCCGTACACCGGGATACCAAGGACAGGGAGGAGGACCGTGTTTAGGAGCAAAGTACTGGCAATGAAGGTGGACAACATCGTGGTAAGCGAGCGTGAAGGCTGAGGGGGATACAGAGGTATCTGGGGTCGCTTGGCCTTCCAGCAGCGCAGAATCGGGGCATTATGTACCATTGTACCCATTCTTCGAGGACCGGGTATGGATCACAAGGGGTGATTGGAGCGGAAGGACATCGCACGATGATAGGAAATGCTGGCCGCTAGATGGGTTCATATGATCAAACATATGCTGTTAAACAATTGTTGTCGAGCTGCTGGTCGGCGGCATTGGAGAAGGACGATTTGACCGATAGGAGAAATTCCAATCCGATTACGATGGTCCATCCCCTTAACGGGTCGCGTGTTGCGTCTTGCACTACGAAGTCGCCCGGATATAGTGGCAACCATACGAGGCGAGTGCTCAAAAGCACCCCCAAACGTTTTCAAAGCATGGGCGCTTCACCAAGGAACGTTCTTTGATACCAACGGGCCGAACAAAGCGCGAGCGTTATGCGGCAGGCAAAGTCGTTTCTTCCACAGAGAACGGCGAGTGTAACATGCGAATCGACGGTGTCGCGTGCTTGCACGTCCTCCACAGAGTGGAATTGCTGATCGTAAGATCAAGACAAATGTTTCAGTGCGCAGCGACAGCGAGCAGCTGGATATTGGCAGTGCCGCCAAAGGCTCCCTAACAGCACCCAGCACCTCGATGCCACGTGAATCCAGCCATGCTGGATAGCGACAGAAGATGACGGTAATCTTCTTCGTAGAACATGAAGGTCAAGAACCACTTGACAGAGATAAGAGAAGGGTGCAGAGCGTCGTCGAAGAAGAAAGGGGCGATACAGGGGCGGCTAAAGTGCTTGCTACGGCAGGTCGGTTATGTGCAGATTAGCGTCGACGACTGGTGTGCACTACCTATAGATCGCATGCCTCGTGAATCATGTCAGGCGTAGAAAGGAATACAGTTCATCCAGAAACAGAGTCCGTTTCGGAAAGCAACATCCAGAGCGCTCCTAAAGAGGGAGGAGAAGAGGAAGGCCTCGGGGTCACGTGCGCCAGGGGTCGACCGTTATGGTGTCTGGCCGGTAGCCTCTTCCAGTTCATCTCGGTTTGGTACGTAATTCTGACCGTAGTGAAGGCATATCAATTGATGCATACAGATCGAATTCATTCCTATTGAGCATTATGCACAGCAAAGGGTTCGCGACCCAAAAGAAACTCTTGCTGCCTGCAGTCTATTTCTGGGGCAGGGAACAGCAAGGAGCGCGTTGCTTTTCGTTCGGTGAACAGAAGATGGAATTACCCCTTACGACGTAGACGCGCGTCCTCTATGTGTACCTCTCTTGACACCATGAGCCACATAGGAGTATTCTGACAAAGAAAGAATGTCAACGCGTGCGGACCATGATGAGGGGGTCAGGTGCCTTGGATACGCGAGGAAAGCACGAAACGCGTCGCGGTTCTTTCTATCATCCTGTCGACCACTGGTACGTTGTCTAATCTCCTTTACGACTGGCCCATCTGGCTCATTCCCTCTCGAATACACTTCTTCCTGTCCAGGGGCTTGCAAATGCTGTTCTATTTCTGTCCCTAAAGGAAAGGTAAGTTCTCGACCTATGCCCAAGTTTGTACACCCTTCCATCCAGTGGAACACGGCCGAATCTTCCCACCGAGAGGGATAACTCAGGAACATGCGCACGGAAGATTATCGACTGAATTCATCTCACCATTGTTCACAGACGCTCTGAACCGAGGTGCACAAAACGATCACACCCGGTCCCGGTTGTCGCATCCCCTGTCAAGAGAGAGGTTCAACCTGTTCTCGTTTGGTCATACCAGCCGAGTTCTCCTTTCTCTTACTACCTATCAATGCCTGCTCGCTCGTCTCCCTCGAGAATTATCGCTGCATCTCATCGGAGCATCCCCGCCTCATATCATCAGCATTCCTCACTGCCAATTTCGATTCCGCGCTATCGTCTTCCAACACGCTCCCCAGCAGGCTGCACTGCGAGGGGAGGTCTCCTGCAGCCAGTCTTTGCGAAATTGGAGGAAAAAGCGCATATATGTGCAGATTTGAAACCCGAGCACCTTTCCGTCTCGTACACGGATTGCTTGATCCTGCCAACTTTGCGTCGAGCCGCCATGTTCCGAGCTCGCCCTAGTGCTGTTGATCTAACAAGAGCTAAGCGCGCTCGTGAACCAGATGATGAACTGCCTCCAGCAAAACGTCGTGCTTCTGCCTCAGGCGTGCCGGCAATAGAGACTGCCAGTTTAACATCTGGAACCTCATCATCATCAGCCGGCATATCGGCGCGGTTATTACCGTTCATGCGGGGCGTTATATATCCTGGTACCGACAGATTCCCTTTCCAAGCAGGATCACCCGCGGATGTTCTTGTTCTTTGACCGATCCTCAGAGCAGAATCTGATATACGATCTCGTGAAGTGGTTGGAAGAAAGGATTTCTGAAGATTATGATGAGCAAGATGAATGAATTGACTTTGATGCATTAGGTTATTTCGAAGACTGGATGGATGAAGATGCCTATATGTCTGATCAGATGGACTATTATTACGATGAAGACGTGACTCGGCAATATCTCGATCTGGATGATTATGTTGAGATGGAGGAATTAGAGATGTACGAAAACGGGGGAGAAGAAGAGAATGTCGAAGCAGACGAGAATGCTGAAGCAGATGAGAACATTGATATCGACGAGTATGGCGACATTGACGAAGACAGCTTAGAAGGTCAGTACATCATGCTGGCTAAACCTGTTGATGCTGCTGACGATATCGATACAGAAGAGATCGATGGAACTGATGAGTATGTGCGGGAGCATGAGAATCTTCGCTCCATCAAATGGCTTCTCCGTCTTGACTATGCTGAGATCAGCAACCTTCGCTCGAGAGAGATGTTGTTGCAACTCTTACGTGAACTGAGAGACGCTCTGAGGGAAGTAGAGTGATCACGATTCCTTCGCTTGACACGTCGCTATAGGTTTATTCTTGCTCCTCGCCTGTTTAGTTTAGCTCATTGCTCGGAAGCCTGTTGCTCCCTTCATTCCCCGGTGTTGTTTTGACTGCGCATCCGTCGAAGTTCGTTATCTATAATCAGCACGAGCCTCTTGACCGTTGGGCTTGTGATAGACGTATGAGGCAAAAATCAGGAAGGAAGATGGAAGAAGAGAGTCACAAATGTTCTTATTTACAAAAATCGTCTACTTCAAGGAACGTGAAGAACCAGCTTATTATTCAATAACCAAGTCAGCGTTGCGCTTTGCCTCCGCCAGGCTTTCTACCACTGTACAGTTGTGGAAGTTGACGGATCGCCCCTTGATCACTGTCCCTCTCCCATGTTTTTCACTCCGGTATCTCAACTGTAAAGTTCGGTCTGGCGGAGTTGACAACAACAACAACAACAACAATCAGTCGCATATCAGAACGATTGCGAGACATCAACTGGAAGCTGGAGGTTCTGAGCTCAGGATCCACTCGAGGCATCAGCCATGGACGTAAAGTTCGAGCCTCTACTAGATCCTGACTTCCTTTCACGAGTGACCAAAATCGAAACGATCGAGACAGGATCTTCAGCACTTTTCTCCATGGCTTCGGCAGACGAAACAACCACTAGTGGTATGTCTCTGACTGAGTCTGGAGCTGGAGCATCTGATTCGGGCAGCTGTCAGGCGCCATCTGAACTAGTTGCTGACCACTCAGTTGCGCCGGCTCATCTTGACTCTATCGATACACCCTTGCCTGTTATAACTACTCCTCCACGATCTCAGACGATGGCGACATCACCTTTGCGTCCTACTCCCTCTCGGGGACTAAGGAATGATCTGATGGACAACGTCTATGATCAAGTACAACTAGAACAGGCGATCTGGGCTAGACCCGCAGATCCAAGCTATATGCCTGTGACGCATCATGTGATTGAGACAAACATACGAACTGAACCAAAGTTGTCTATTCGAGCAGCTGCGAGTTCTAATGTTCACAATCCATCCAAAGCGACCATGTCCATGCTTTCCTCAGAACACTCTCATTTGACGGAACCAGTCCTATCTGCCTTTCTGCATGCCAGGACTGCAGCATCCTATAAGAACTTCGCAGAACGGCATTTTGTCACTCTAATGGAGCTCGAGAGCCAGTCACGAAGGCTATTGACAGGTGCCTGGAACAGAATAGGATTTTCATCATCAAAATACATCAGGTCGCTCGCTGCTTCCTGGCTGATGACAGTTGCACCACTACTCGACATGGCGGATACCATCCGTCAGATGAAGATGGATACTGCACTTCTGAAATTGGAGCTTAGTGCCAGGATAACTGGAAAAGAGCCCCCATGGCAAGATGCAGCAAAATTCGAAGTATTGCGCGAAGTTCGGTATGAGATAGGCTTCTGTCACAGGATGTTATTGATACCCTATGTAATAGACCCTTCCCTTTGCAAACAAGGAAGCCAACCTATGTGACGAATGATGACATTTCATCTCAAAGCAAGGTGCTGCAAGAAAAGTGCATTTGTTTTTGGCACCACATGGGGACAGTACGTCACTTGTCAGATCGAACAACGTATGAGTGACAACTTCCATTGAAGGATAGCCAAGGTGACGTCTGACCTAATAGAGAATTTCTTTCACTTGTAAAGAAGCCGGACAGCATGCCTGGAGATGATCTTTGTTCAGATGTCGAAGTACTCAGTGCACAGTCTGAGGAGATTTATGCCATATGGGATGGGATGAAAATCGCAGCAACACAGCTAGAATATTTGATGAATCGGCAGGAAGCTCAGCATTGCTTTGAACTTCTATCGGAGCATAGCGTGCACCACCGGCCTCATGCATCGACAACAGACAATGCCCGCAAGGAGGACGATCCACTCAATACAGTTCCTACAACACCTGGTCCGGTAGAGAACGAGAAAACCTCGTCGAGGCACGCACCCGATGTGCAAAAAGGGGGACAGGATCAGGGAGGGACAAGCACGACGTACGCTTCAAACACTTGAACAGCGTGTGTCAGTACTGATCATTCGACAGGGGATAAGAGGAGTCCTCCGGAATCAACATAGCGCCGATCAGAGATGACAACAGCCTTGTTCCCGAGAAGTCAAGCACAAGGAAGCGCGCTCGAGAGGATGATACACCGAGTTTGCCTGCTGCGAAACGCACGCTTCAAGAGGCTGGTGTGTGTCCAGTAGGGCAACCAACACACCAGGACCAGTGTACGTCATGACTTCCAAGGATGGATTGCAGAAGTATGATATCGCTCACTACTTGCAGCAGCTCTGTCCCTTTGCCCAGACCTGAAGAAGGAGCACCACAGCAAGAGCGCCAGCTGGAAAATGAAGTGAAGAGACCGGGTTCCAAATGCTCTTTGACTCAAGAGCGGATCAGACGTCTTAGACAGCCCCGCCGGGGTACCGGCCGCAGCTGAGCTTGTCATATATGGGAGAAGAAGTTGGTACATCTGTGAATGAGGACGCATGGATTACATAATTCTCACTGTGTACCTCGATATCCTTACGCCCCAAGAAGGTAGTAGTATAGCAGTATGTTAGGATGCATGTTTTTCTTCCCCAACTACTGTGAGCCAGATTTAGTGAAGTATGTGCTCCAGGCAGACACTGTTCTGTTGGCTATAAGAACGCTTGTTCTTAGTTGAAAAGTCATGTTCTTTTATTTGATAGTTCTCCTGAGCTTTGGGTAAGAAAATAGCTCCTAGATTCGTGTTGTTATAGATGTCAACAGCGTGAAACGCCAAGCACGTCCCCTCCGGCGCTCGCCTAAAAGGCACTTCTGCTCACGTAATCCTGCCCTAGCCAGGCCCGGTTGCGTCCCTTAAGACCTAAAATTTTCTCCGGCGGGAAGTGGGGATTACGTAATCTGGCGTAATCGGGTCGGGGATGTTCGTTCGAGATGCAGGAAATTGTTGATTGTGGGAATTTGTTTACTGTAGCATGGGTAGCGGTGGTAGCGGTAGTAATAGGGCAGTGAAGGTTGGTTCGGGCATAACTCATGGATGTGGGAAGGCATGAGTGATATTGGGTTAGACGTGGATGGCGGGCGATCGGCGCGGTTTGCCCGGAAAGGGTCAGGGGATGATCAGGCTGATCAGATGCCTGGAAGCATCGGAATGCCGATTCCGCGTGAGAGCGGGTGAGTAGTCGCCGCAGTCGGTGTTCAACATGCAGAACACGAGTGTATTAATATTTATTATGCGTTCACAAGGCTGGACTACGGTGCTGCGGAATGCACTGTTGATGATGATGAGTGCTATTCTGATAACGCTGTGTGATGTAGTGAAGAAGCGAGATGGGGGGTGATGTAAGAGGAATGACATACGCGCCCGTGGGTTCGGATGGTCCGATGAGACTGACGCCAAGCCGACGCTGTCCGAGGTGAGTGCACTGCCACTTAGTCTGCTGTTGAAAGGCGCCCGCTGTAAATGGATGATGACGGAGGGGATGAGGCTAGTGAGGTCAGCGGCAGCATATTCTCCCCTTTAACACTAGCACATGCTTACATCATCCATCCATCTCTCTCACACAGCCTGACACATAATTCCAGCCAGCTCACTCCCACAAACATCCTCGGCCGTCAATCGTCCGTAATCGGCACTTTCACCTCTTCTCCACCTTTCTCTTTCTTACCATCATCTCCTAACAAACATCACCGTCGCGCGAGCGACAAGGTGTGCCCCCCTCGTCGTCGGCAACCACCATACCCTTCTTCCCCTATCATGGCCTACACAAAGTCATCCAAGCGCCCTCCTAAACACAACAAGGCGAACCAAAAACCCTCATTCTGGTCTAGGCTGAGCAGCATCTCCGCAGAACACCTTATCGAAAGGCTGTTCGAGGCCAAACCCCGCCCTTCTGGACCACGGACTGTCTACTTGAACGAGAACTTGCCCCAGGAGTGCTATGACTCTAAACATAAGGGCAGAGTACGCCACGACTGTATCTACAACACCAACCAGGTCGTCACGAGCAAGTACACAGTGATCACCTTCGTACCCCGGAACCTGTTAGAACAGTTTAGGCGTGTAGCTAACCTGTAAGTCGAGCGTGTATAGTATACAGGCAGAGAGGCTGACCCCTTGCCCAGGTTCTTCCTCGGCATCGACGTCCTTCAGTTCTTCCCAAAGTTCGCTACCATCTCCCCAGGCCTCGTCATTCTCCCCCTCATCGTCGTACTGGCTATCACGGGCGCCAAAGCCGGATATGAAGATCTCAAGCGGCACCAGTCTGACCGGAAGGGGAACCAGTCCCCAACACATGTCCTCACAGGGGGAGGGTACGTCAACCCGAACCAGATGGGCCGCAAGGCGCGCACGTACTCTATCCCCCTTCCGTGGAAGAAGAAGAAGGTGATCGATGAGGAGAAGATTGCTGAGGACGAGAAGGAGCTGAGGAGGGTTATGAGCGAGCGGTCGGAGCATCCGGAGCGGGAGATCGAGATGCGTGAGAGGGACGTGAAGGTGGGCGTCGTGAGGACTTCCAGCAGCGCTGCGGGCGGATCACGCCCACATGCGGATAGCACGGGGTCAACAACCCTCCGCGCAAGTGGAGACGAGTTCCAGCCAATGGACGTAGATCAAGATGCGCTCAGCACTGCTTCCCGCAACACCCCACACTTTGGCCGTACGGTATGGGAAGACATCGCCGTCGGCTCCTTTATCAAGATCTACAACAACGAGAGCGTCCCTGCGGATATTGTCATCTGCGCCACCTCCGAACCCGAGAACGTCGCTTTTGTAGAAACGAAGAACCTGGACGGGGAGACGAATTTGAAATCCCGGCGTTCGGTCGAAGGGCTGACGCATCTTCGCACGGCACACGAGTGCGCTCTGGCCCAGTTCCGTATCGAGGCCGAGGCACCGCATGTCGATATGTACAAGCTCAACGCTGCTGTGGTCATGTACGGCGAAGACGGGAGCATGAAGCACCCTGTTGACGCGCAGATGTGCCTTCTCCGAGGTACAGTGCTCCGGAACACAGAGTGGGTGATCGGTGTCGTCCTTTACACAGGTTTTGACACGAAGATCATGCTCAACTCCGGTGGGACGCCCAGCAAACGGTCCAAAGTCGAGCGCCAGATGAACCCACAAGTCATCGTCAACCTCGCCCTGCTCGCCATTATCAGCGTCGTCTGTGCCATAGCAGACAGCGCGATCGAGAAGCAAAAACAGCCTATGGGCGCTTACTGGCTCTATGACGACAACCGCTCCGGAGATAATCCGAGTATCAACGGCCTGATCACTTTCTTCCAAGCGCTCATCACGTTCCAGAACGTGATCCCCATTTCTCTCTATCTGTCGATCGAGTTCGTATGGACCTGCCAGGCGGCGTTCATCTACTTCGATAAGGAGATTTGGTACGATAAGACGGATACGGCGACGTTGGCTAGGAGCTGGAACTTGTCCGACGATCTGGGGCAGATCCAGTATGTCATGAGTGACAAAACGGGTACATTGACTCAGGTACGCCTAGCTTATTCCTGTAATGATAGGCTGTGCTAATACGGGTGTATCGGTAGAACAAGATGGTCTTCCGCCAATGTTCGATCGGGGGAAAGATGTACAAAGGCGAACCGGACGAGACGGACGAAGACAGGCGGGCAAAAGCTAAAGCTACGTCTCTGGAAACCTCTTCCCAGTCCTCATCCGACCAGAGCGCGACCAAGCTGCTCCCTGAACCTGCGCACAGGTTCGTCGACCCCGAGCTCGAAACGGACTTGCGCCATTCTGGGCAGAACGCGCATGTGCAGAACCTTGTTGGGTTCTTTGACGTCCTAGGACTGTGTCATACCGTTCTGGCGGGGGAAGACGAGCATGGGAAGCTGCAGTATAAAGCTCAGAGTCCGGACGAGGCTGCGCTCGTACAGGCCGCAGCGGACGTAGGGTTCGTCTTCCGGGGAAGGGACAAGGAGATCCTGCGGTTGCAAACGCCGTTCTCTCACGAACTGGAACAGTACGAACTGCTGAACGTACTCGAGTTTACCTCGGCTAGGAAACGCATGAGCGTCGTCATACGCCGTGTGGACGGGGAAGATCATCGGCTTCTCCTTCTCTCCAAAGGCGCGGATAACGTCATCTTCGAGCGGCTCGCTCCTGGCCAGACAGATATCCGGAGCAAGACGGACGAGCATCTGCAGTTCTTTGCCGGCCTTGGCTTGCGCACATTGTGTCTCGCCTACCGGGTACTAGACGAGAACGAATACGACGCCTGGAGCAGGGAGTATCATGAAGCTGAGACGGCCCTCGAGGACAGGGACGACAAGCTCGAGGAAGCGTGTTCCAAGCTCGAGCAGAAGATGCGTCTCTTGGGAGCGACGGCGATCGAGGATAAGCTGCAGGACGGTGTGCCGGAAGCGATTGCGGACCTTAAGCGCGCTGGGATCAAGGTTTGGGTCGCGACGGGCGACAAGCTCGAGACGGCTATCTCTATTGGCTACTCGACGAACCTGCTTGCCAAGGACGCGAATCTGGTCATCGTCCGAGGTACGGGCGGGGATTCGGATCGAACGCCAGTGTATGATCAGCTGCGGGGTGCGGCGGCGACCTTCTTCTCTGAAGAGAGGATTGAGGAGAAGCATCCGGAGGTCCTGTCACCCGACGACTACGAAGTCCAGATGCACGGACGGCCAACATTCCTTCGCCGGCTATCGTCTCACCATACCGAGCCGCGGTCTCCTGTGGCCAGAGGGAGCTTTGACGGCACTCGTCTGCGGAGGTTCAACACTGGCGTTTCTTCCCTCGTTGGGCCGGACAACGGCCACAAGCCTGGAGGATACAGCTTGGTCATCGACGGTGCCGGCTTGGCAGAAGCGCTCGCGGAGAACTGGAGTAAGGCACTGCTCATGCAGGTCTCGACTCGCTGTGAAGCTGTCGTATGCTGCCGTGTGTCACCTAAGCAGAAAGCGCAGATCGTCCACCTTGTCAAGGATGGCCTGGGTGCTATGTGCCTGGCTATCGGCGACGGCGCAAACGACGTGAGCATGATCCAAGCTGCTGATGTAGGGGTTGGGATCAGCGGTGAAGAGGGCCTGCAAGCTGTAAACTCGTCGGATTACGCTATCGCTCAATTCCGCTTCCTCACCCGGTTACTCTTCGTACATGGTCATTGGTCCTACATTCGGAATTCAAACATGTGAGTTCATTGCCACTCAGGAAACTTCTTGCTCATTGATGGCTAGGATTTTGAACTTCTTTTACAAGAACATTGTCGCTATCGGTGTGCTCTTCTGGTTCCAGATTTACTGCGCTTGGAGTACCACATAGTATGCCTCACTCCAATTGTTCTTCTCACAATTCTGACAACATCGCAGCGTGTTTGAATATACCTATCTTCTGTTCTGGAACGTCTTCTGGTCTCTCTGCCCCGTCATTGCTATTGGTATCTTCGACCGCAACATCGACGGTGACATCCTCGTCGCGCTACCAGAACTCTATCGGTACGGGCGTGAAGGCCGCTGGTTTGGCACTTGGCGATTTACGATATACATGCTCGAAGCTGGATACCAGTCTGTCGTCATCTTCTTTTTCATCCTGTACGCCTATGCCACCACGTCCGCCCGTTCGGATGGCTGGGATGTGGATATGTACGAGTTCTCCACCGTACGTTGCACGTCGTTGTCCTTGCCGAATGTGTCACTGATGATTTCCAGACCATGGTCATATCCTGCGTCATGGCCGTCAATTTGTATAACGGGATCAACACGTACGCGTGGTCGGGCTGGGTTTGGTTCGCCGTAATCATCGGCCCCATCCTGTGCTGGTTATACACGATCGTATACAACGCCATACCGCCTAGCAGCTTCTTCACGTTCGTGTATGGGAACAACTACTTTCTGTTCCCGTCAGCATACTACTGGTTCGGCCTCTTCCAGACGCTATTCCTGGCTCTACTCCCCCGATATGTGTGGAAGACTATCAACGAATCATACCTACCTGACGATATTGACGTATTACGTCAAATCAGAGCATTCTATCCAAATATAGACGTAAAGAGCGATCCCGGCCTAGGCGGTCGGTTCAAGGCCGAGACCCTGCCCGAAAAGGAAGAATTGGAGCCGCACCCCGAACCAGAGAATATATACGCAGAACCAGAACACGCGACCGATCTACTGCGGCGCTCAATCGACTCCAGTGCAGCACCTGAAACTCCACGACATAACTACCCGCCCACGTCCGATTCCATCTACCGTCAACGCCAGGCCACAGGTAGCCGCACGGAAATGTCAACCGGTCGTCGAGGGACAGGACCTGGTGGAGGATTTGACTTCTCGCAGGAGGAAGGAGGCTTTGCTATTCAGCGGATGCAGAGTCATCTGTCGGAGATGTCCGAACGACGAAGGCGTGAGAGGGGGTCTCTCGCTTCTCGTTTGCTGCATAGTACAACTCCGAGGCGAGACCGCTCCGGAAGCGGTGGAAGCGTTGGTCTCTTCCCATCTCTCAGGAGGTCAACACGAAGGAGAAGGGAAATTCCGTCACAACAAGAGCCTCCAGTACCATCCCCGCCGGAGCCCGCACACCGGCCAACATAATAATACAAGATTCTTCTCAGTGTTGTAACCTCATACCTTTCACGACTTTTCACGATATTTCCAGGGTTTTCCCTGATATTCATATTAACTGTATCTATCGATCACAGTAGGGTGTACAACCACATGCAATCTACGGTTCACATTTTGATACTCAGTGTTTAATCACTGATGTCGGGTTGAGATCCGAAAATGAAACCCAGATGGGCACACGACTGAAACGCGTCATGAGAAGCACCCGTCACGTGACCTCCCGCGACTATCCGTGAAGCACCGGATGCCCCTTCCCCTGTGTCTACACCGCACGACTTATATTTTGTTATTGATCCTTGCCTAATCGCTTCACTCCACTGAATAGCTTTGGCATGCTTTTGCGATGACCTTCTCATCCGCTCAGGAGACCAGTGCTCATGATATACCCGTTTCTCGTCGCAGCCCCGTGTGAGGTGATACATTCCCGAAAGGAGTCGCAGCCTGCCAGACTACTTATGCCCGGGGCATCTGGGCTTCGCTCGCCAATCCGAATGCCTCTTTCTCTGCGCCTCTTTCTCCCCTTACTCTAGTGCACCAAAGTCCACTAATATTAAGGCTCGAATACCTTTCCCTCTCTGTCTTCTTCTCTCCATGGCTGTTATTCATGACTTGCACGCAAACCTCAAGCGCAAACCCTCAGAGCTGGCGCTCGAGCGACGAGCAATACCACGGGCGACGGCGTTTGCAACACCCGATGGCGCTCAAGTCCTGGAAGTCCGCGCAGGCCCTTCCACTTCTTCTTCCCATCATCTCGCAATTACCCCCGGAGCATCCCCAGCATCCCCAGCACCTACCCCTAATGCCTCAAGTGGCACAGGAAGCTCTTCAAGAGGAACACCGGTGTTTGTTCCGGTCTTGGCGACCGTTTTCTCCGTCCTTGGTGTTTTGCTCTTCGGCTTCCTCCTCTTCCTCCTCTGCAGGCGACGCAAGAAGACAACGAGCGCAACAAAAGTAGAAGCACAGAAACGCGAGAAATGGGGAGCAAGATGGAGACAGCGAGGGCAAGACTCTAGCGATGCAGGTTCTCCGCCTTTCATGGGATACATGGGCCCTGCGTCTAGTGACAGGACTAGCTCGCCGTCCTTCCTCAGCCCGAACACTGGTGCCCAGCTGGTTAATGCACCCACTTCCCCATCCGGTTGGGGACCCTTCCACATCACACCTTATCGCATTTCCTTCGCTGTGCGAATGCCTTTGAAGTCCCAGCCCTCCAAACAGAAACAAGCGGCGATAGTCGGTCCTAAGGATCTTGTTCTCCCATCCAAGCCATCACGCTTTTATGACAGGCGTTCGCCTCCAGGAGGCAGCCAAGTATCTATCTTCACTCGACCATCTTATCGCTCACGCCGAACCGAAGGTACTCCTCCCCCATCATACAATTCTCGTGGCACGTCAGGACGCACTCTCGCAACACTGGCAACAAATGGCTCGCGCTCCACTTCCGGACGCACCCCCCCTTCTCTTCCGCCCGTCGTAACGGGTCCCGCACTCAACCTCATTCCTCCTGCCCCCCAAAGTGGAGAAGAACTCAGCCCTTACCAGCCCATTCCCTCCGCCGTTCTGACTCCCTTCGACCAAGTTGTCATATTCCCTACCACCAACTTGCCTTTGCCTCGCAAGATGGTTGTCGTCAGCACCTTTACTCCCGCACTATCCGACGAGATGAGCATCCAAGTTGGGCAGATCCTAAAGCTGGTGGAGGAGTACGATGACGGCTGGTGTCTCGTTGAGCGGAAAGCCGTGAACGGCCAAAAGGCGGAGCAGGGTGCAGTGCCCCGCTTCTGCTTGGACGAGATCCACCCAGACGAGCCGGGAACTGGTTCGTTTAGCGTGAGGAGCATGGCCACTCCCCTGTCTACGGGCCCGACGAAGAGCCCGCGAAGGAAGGGCTCGCTTAGGCGGAGGATGAGATACTCTCAGATCTGAATAATGTTCCTCGCTGATGTGTGCATTCCTGTATCCATGTGCCTTTACGTTTGCTCCATGTCTCACTGTATTACTACGGCAAGGGTCGACTGACTCATACAAACAAAGATGATATACCAGTCAATGAACGAGTCCCGTTCAAGTCAGAGCATGGAGAACGGTGATGATTCCGGGCAATACATTATAACCCGAAACATGATGCGACGACCGTACAAACCTATTTGTGAGAGCCTTGCGCCTCCCCTAGGATATATACACATGATACTCAATCCTCCGGCCACATCGCCTTCTTGTTAAACTTCGCCTGATCGCGCAGCCACCGTCTATAATCATGCAGTGACCCGATTTTCTCACCATAATAGTCGGGCACGGGGTTCATCGCACTCTGCCTGCTGGGATCCACCTGATCAAACACATGTCAGTCCATGGCAATGATATGAAATGAACGGGCGCACCCGGTGCTTCACAATGCGTGCATGAAACTCCTTGTCCTTCAACTCGATAGCGGACATCATTCGTCGGTGTGTTGTTCGCCAGAGTGTACCGCCCAGAGTGGGTCCAATCAAATACCCTAGACCTAATCGCATGAGGTTGTATCAGCACTCCAAACACGTCTCACGCGACAAGAGATACACACCCATACACCCCATCGTCGCAGCGGCGTACACCCACATGGGCTCAATCCCAAATATCGGTTGAGCTGCGTCAGCTTCCAGCGACCCAAAGTATGCAACTCCAGCTCCAAGACCGACGAATGTCATGGGAATGGTTGAGGTGAGTTCCCAGCGCCGCTTTGCCCGCCGAATGGAGAGAAACTCGGCCCAGGTCAAATTAGGCGGTGCTGTCGATGACGATGTCGAGGCAGATCGCATTGTTGGACGTCGAAGAGTCTGCGCGTGTCGGACCAAATGGAGTGATGGACGTTGTATGCTCTGTACTATTGAGGAAGACACTGTTCGAAGAGAGACGGACATGATGAAGCCGACGTTGGTGAGTGAAGGCTCAGAAGGGTGCTCACATGAAATTCGCGTCAGGATCTTCCCACGGAACCTAATCAGCCTTCTCTCCTTGTTTAACCTCCCTCGTACCTCGCTAGCTCCCATTCGTGCTTCTTCTGTACACTCCCTGAGGAATGATGCCCATAATCACGAGGACTAGTTCTGTGTCTGAAGTGATTCTGAGCGGCTGGCCACGTATCAAGTCTCTGGAAGTGCATGTCGGAGCTAGAGCTGTAGCGGGTGTTTACTGTGGACGATCATGATGGGCACTGAGACCGGCCCGTATGCACTATCATTTGTTCGCAACAAACTATACCATCGTCATGATACAATACTATGCAACAGCATGATGCGGTGCCAATGCAAGAGCATGATGCGGTGCCATTGCAAGAGGAGGATGCGGTGCCGTTGCAAGAGGAGGATGCAGTGCCAATGCAAGAGGATTTTGCCGTACCAACCCGGAGCGCTGCAGGTTCTCGAAGTCCTGGTGCATCTTCTTCGATTTTTCAGAGAGGGGCCCAACTATCGATCTACCTTCACCGGCCTCAAATGCAGATTCCTTTTTGTGGACAGCCTCGGCTTTGGCCCCACGAAAGTCATGTTTCCGCTTCGGGTCCCCCAAAATCTCAGCGGTCTTGAGCTCTTGGTCGTGAAAGGCTTCGAGCTTCTGGTACGACTTTCCCGCCTCGAGATAATTTCCCTCCCTGAGATCTTGTTCCGCCATCTGATGAAGATGCTCATGGTACCACGTCTTTTCATATTACTTGGGTTCACGCATGCCCTTCTCGAGCATGCTAGCAGTTTGTGAGACATTACTATTGCACAAGATGAAACGAACACTCACTAGCTTTGAAACTTGGATCGAGTATTCGGGGGTTTCGGGGGTTTATGCAGGCCCACCTTGACTGCGCTAACAGTTTGTGAGGCATTACTATTACACAAGATGAAACGAACACTCACAGATAATGGAATATGGAGGGTTTATTCGGGGGTTTATTCGGGGAGGGATTATCCGGGGGATTATCTGGGGGATTATTCGGGGAGGGATTATCCGGGGGATTATCTGGGGGATTATTCGGGGAGGGAGTATCCGGGGGATTATCTGGGGGATTATTCGGGGAGGGAGTATCCGAGGGTTTATTCAGGGTTTATACAGGCCCACCTTGTCCCCGCTAACAGTTTGTGAGGGATTACTATTGCACAAGATGAAACGAACACTCACAAATGATGGAATTTGGAGGGAGTATCCGGGGGCTTGTTACTAATAGGTGCTCCACCTTGCCTGTGTTGGATGAGAAGGTGAGAAGAGGTGCATATGGTTGGGGGAAAGTGATACGGACATGGGCGGATCATGCCCCACCTCCGCTACATCGGACAGCGCTACATCGGACTGGGACGCATCATCCCCTCCATACACCCCATTTCCACTTCGTGCTTCCAGGGACGGGACAGGATATGCCAAAACAATGGTTGCAGCAACAAGTAAAGCGAAAAGAACTGTCTTGGTGAAGATCATGGTGAGAGAACAACAAGTACGATAAGAAAATGTGGGTGACCAGCACCTTTCGTTGATCCAAAGAATGTAGGGGAGGAAGATGATTGAGACCAGCTGCCGTTTCTGTTGACTACAGTGGCAGCATAAAGTTACGCACACGGATACAGCATGGATAGGGGACTCGGTGTGCAATACTTTGTGCCGCCAGTGTAGCTTCAGCAGCATTTGTGCTATATAAGGCAGCAGGATGAACCCGCCTGAATGTTTGACAGCATGTTTCGTCCCTAGTATTCATACAAGGCTGCTGACATATGGGGCCGACTGGTTCAGCCGGTGATCGCCGACCACCATAACGTCGGCCACGGTGGTAATATTAATGTGACAAACTGAACAAATTGAATTGGTGGGTGATGGTCGTTTTTAATCGTCGATGAGGTCGTTACCCAGTCCATGTCCTCTTGCGCGTATGAGGTGATGCGGAACTTTTTCACAATTTACATGACGAGTAAGATTAAAATGTCCTTGAATCTGAGGAGGGGGAGCAACAGAAATCCTCGAGGACCCCACAATCCAGCGTATCCAGCCCTCATCGCGCGTCTCACAGCATCATGGGTCTCGCAACTAACCCCCCCAGACCACTGCGTATCACATGATATGTTGTGATGCGCCGAGACCTAACACCTCGGTACTAGATATCATCAGGCGGTATCAGACGCAGCGAGGCAGACTTTGAATTATCGAGACCTCCAAACTTACAAGGAGTTGCTGCGAACGGAGGCTGAGCACCGCCGCATGACACTCTGACTGCCTTGTCAGGTGTTCCCGAGGAGGCCGCTGCCTTGCAGTTTCTCGCCAACAGTTCACTAGGGGGCGAGATCGATATCGTGGATCTCGATGCCATGGACATGGGACAGACGAGTGCCGACCCTTCGGTACCTAGTGCACCACTCGCATATGGAGAGGACGAATGGGAGCTCAAGGAGGACACCTTGAGCGGTATTCCAAGTGCCCATGCTAGCACGAGTGTGCGAGAGCTGTGGCAGGGCCGCCAGTATGCATATCCACCTTTGTATCCCTGTTCAAGAACTCACACATCTTGTTATAGACCTTCCACCAAAGGCACGAGGCATGCTCGAGGCCAAGGGCTGGATGCAGGGGTCCTTGCCAAGCATCGCGCATCCGGGGCGGGGGACATAGGTGACGTGAGCTCCGTCAATATCCACATATTGAAATTAATCGACGAGAATGTCTGGCAATGCATAGCTATCTCCGAACAGCAATACCATATCGATCACAAACCCATTGAACATCCCTAAATGCACCCTTCCCTTCCTCCTCCACGTCCTTTTTGAAGCCCTCGAAGTTGGCCTCTTGCACACTGGCAATCATGATTCCACCACTCCGCAAGAGGCTTGCATGAAGTTCAATATTGTCCGTGTTGTTTTTAATCCAATAGTACTACCATAGATCACCACTGTATTCACCTTCCAGACCAAGAGGCTCACCGTCAGCCAGCTAACGTCAAACGAACCAACCGCGAGGGTAGGATCAGATGCACGAAGACATGTAATCGTTTCGTACCCACTCCCAGGTCTTTTCAGGCGTCATGATCTGGGATGAATATTGTCATAACTTGCTTACAATCTTTGGAATATCCCATCCCAGCAGCACCACAAAGCAGACACGTCTGTGTCAGGCCACCATTCTGCGCACGGCGTTGCCCTAGAAGCGTCCTTCAGGTCCTATCGTTGGGGGAACACAAGCATCGGCTCACCAGTAAGGTACAATCCCTGGCATAATCAATCTACCGGGAGATCTTCCGAGATGTTCAATAACAATTTCGACTATGCCCCACGGCTTCCAGGTCCATGGCATCCCTAACTGGTTCCGACTGGATAGCGAGCTGAGGACGTGATTACGCCAACTATAAGGGGACTCACTATTCAGAACGCCAGAAATCTTCATCTGACTTCTTGTTCTGTGACAGTCCTTTGTTCATTTGCGACTCGAAGTATCGCTCCTGCAATGAGACTTGCATCCGGATACGTTTGACAACTGTCACCCGGTTGAGTTCAACGTGCGATTGTCCAGCTATGAGATACTCACGCTCTGACTGACGCATACGAGCAACATCGACCTCCCCACCCGCATCGAGCGCCGGTGCCGTCGAGAGCGGCACGTACCTGACTTGAAGCCCGTCTGAGACCTGCTCTAAGATTACAAGGGTGGCAGGTGCTTACTCGGCTGTTTTGCATTCCTCTCAGGAAGGATTGGTTTCACATCAGCCCTCGCAAGATACGGCAGAAAGGCGGCCGTCTCTGCCTCGGTCCTCGGATCAACCGGCTCCTCACCGTACAGCGCTGCGAAGATGTCTGTGCAAGATCAGGAAGAATGCTCCGAAGACCGTGGAAAAGTACTCTTACCCGTGATCTCATTCTCGTCACGGACTTCTTGCTCTTTTGGCGGCACGAAGAACCGCATCATCTGCTCCGTCCGCATCCTTACGCCATCAAACGTCGGGCGATACTCATCTTCTGGATCTGAGCAATCCCAAAGCAAATTCCACATTTCATCGGACAAGCCGCGCTTCAAGACTTTCTCACTAACCGGCCGTGTCAGCCTCGTATGCTGCTGTGCAACAAGCACAAAGAATGTGGCATCTGGAATTGTGTAGAACGGGACATCGCCGGTGAAGATCTCGTAGAGAAGCATCGCGTAGCTGTACACGTCGGTTGCTTTGACCAGCTTGCCCATCATCTGCTCAGGGGACATGAAGCGCAAGGTGCCAGGGCTTTGACCGCCGATGGAGCTGGGCGCTCGGGAGAGAGCATGCTGCTTGACTTTGGAAAGGCCGAAGTCACAGACCACTGCTTTGCAGGAATCGTCGATGAGGATATTAACCTTAATCTTGATCAGTTCCATTCCTGAGATGCTATTACAGACTGCGTACCCCTTTGAGATCACCGTGAATGATGTTCATGTGATGGAGGTATGTCATTCCCAGGGCAACTTCATGCATGAGCTTCACCCGATTGAAGGCAGGATTTCGTCTGAGATAGTTAATTGCATTCCCGTTCTCCAGGAGACGTGAAACGATGAACGGCGGACTCGAAGTTATACAAGCGCCGTAGAAAGGTAGAACGTGATCATGTCGAAGATGTTGCCAGATCTGCACTTCACGAAGTAACGCCTCTTGTGAAGTCTCTTTGGTCATGACCTTGACCGCCACGGACAAGCCGTTCCAGGTCCCGCGCTTCACGCTACCGAAACCACCTTCGCCTAGAGGACTCTCGTCATCAATCTCTAAATCGTACGAACTGATAACCCATGGGGGTGGAGCGCCACCGAAAGAACGACCAGACACGCGCTGAAGAGTTGAAAGCGCGTGCTTTAATATCTTGGTCTGAATCGTGGAAGAGACGTGCTCTGAAATATTCTGGGGTGCCCTATGAGCGCTTGTTAGAATGGCCCCACTTGGCGCACCTTTTGCATCGCTAATATGGCTTCCATCATTTCGTTCTTGTTGATATGAAGAGCTTCCATCATTGCCGCGTCGTTTCCTTCCAGATCCTTCATCTTATTTTGCAAGTCTGACGCGTCGGCTTGGCGTGCAACCTCATATTCATTCTGGAAAGAACGTAGGGCGAACTGGCTAGAGATCTGTTCCCAGACAACATTGCGTCTAGTTATTGTTCGGATAGTGATAGAAATAAAAGACGCGCCTGGAAGCATTGTAGGCAATCTGTGAGCCGAACATGTGCATCTGCCAATGAGCGCTTAATATCGTCTTGCCGTAAGAGGACTTTGAGGAAGTTCATCTTGCTGATCTTCGTCAACATTTCACGTATATGGGAGAAGTGTCTAGCGACATCCGCTCATGAGTTATCTTCATAAGCTCTTGTCAAGTCTACTTACTGGTCTAGGGTATAGAAGTTTCGCTTCATGCTCTCTTCTTCTTTGACGCTGTCGTCCATCTTGGATAGCTCATCGCTGATCGCGCCGAGAACTCGTTCAGCGCGCTCTACGACGCTGCGACACTGTTCTCGGTTATCGCTGATTTGGGAATATGCATCATACATAGCCTTCACTATAGTTAGATATGGATGCAATGACGAGACGATATTGATTGTCGGTTGCAGGATATTGATGTTGATGGTGGACATTGTTGACGTTAACAGTCAATCTACAGAGGCACCGAACACCCTTCAGGAGACTTGCAGAAAGGAAAGAAACAGTGATCGTAGAACAGTAGATCCAAAGAACAAGGGCACGCTGTATTGGCACTTTGACACATTGTGCAGGTCATATTGTTGACCTGGAAGGGTATTTCGTTGCCATGGCAAGAAAAAATTTGGCGTATCGGCCGTAAGGGCATACGGAAGTTTTGGCGCCTATGTCCGATATTACGGAAGCGAATTTGAGGCGGATACTCTGCGCTCTTCCTGCCCAAGTCATCGATCGATACGACTCAGTTTCTCCCAGACACATCTGCAGGACAGTCTTTCCATCCGGCTCACGTCGTTTGGTCAGCGATGACTCCAGACAGTTGTCAGCCGCCGACCGAGTCCTTCGCTGCTGGGGTTATCATTCTTTCACCTCAGTCTCTGCCAGCGGATGTGCCCTATGATCACTGGCTCAGCCTGCCAGAACCCTTGCTGGACTTTGTCTTCGCGGCACTGGAGGAGCAGGATGTGCTAAATTCTATATTCGACCTCTGTTTGGCAGGCTTTGCAAGGGCATCCATTCGAGGTCGTCGGATTGAAACACCGATTGGAATTGTGTCAAGACTGTATATTAGACTATATCTTTTCCCTGTCTCACTGGAACAATCCAAGAACCTCCTGCACCATTATCATCTCCTCGATATGCGTGAACGGCCAAGAAAACTTAAACCTGCCGTCGCCATATCCTTGGCGCTGAGCTGGACCTCTCGCGACGCCATGGCATGGCAATGTCTTGGCTCCGGTCATTACGCTAAAGAAACTCTGTTCTTTGAGCAACATTCTGTAAGGCTTGTTTCGTATGGAATACATGCTCATGTGCTCATATATGCGCAGGATAATCGTTCTCTTTCGGAAGTTTTCCAAGACCTTCCTTCTCCCGTTCTTCCCTCCCCAAGACCTTTCAAGAACGAGTCAGATCGCCTGCTTTGTGAAGCCATGACGTGGTCCGCACCTCCAGGAATGAGAAGCATATTATTTCCCTACCAGAGACGCACTGTATGGAAGCTCCTCCAACAAGAACTTCAACCTGGCACCTGGGCTGACCCTCGCTATGTGCGCATAGAGTCCCTTGATGATGAGCGCCCATGGTACATCAGTGCGGACACTTGCGAGGTTCGTTCGGACACCGACGTAACCTATGACCGCGTCAAAGGTGGTATCCTATGCGAGGAAATGGGTAGCGGCAAAACATGCATGTGCATCGCTCTTTGTCTGGCGACGAAAGGACGAATGGCATCCCCTCCAAATACACCGCAAGCTTCGAGAGTTCTGACGAAGGACTCTATGACATGGCCTGGTGGAGAAGAAAATCTCCCCTACCACAATCTTGATTCCGGTCGAGATCCATCAGAAAACGAAGTGATACCGAATATCACCTTCCCTTCGCTACGGCAAATCGCTCAGTTCGTTTCATATACATCGTCCCCACATTCCGAACACACCATTGCGCGCATGCACACGTGGGCAGAGGCAAGACATGTGGAACACCTCAAGCAAGTAACGTGCCGCTTTGAAGAAGAAAGAGAAGAGGTTGAGCAAAAGAAGCCTGGGTCGACATTGCCATTTTACTTGGAGACGGAATCCGAGGGCAAGCGACGAGCGACTCGAGAGGCTAGCAAGACTCTCAGACCCGCAATTCGTATATATCTCAGCTCCCTTACGCTTATATTGGTACCTAGCATGATATTTCAGCAATGGAACGCGGAAATTCTCAAGCATTGCAGCGATGGGGCTCTGAGAGTTCTATCAGTGCCATCACGGCCCGTGCAAGACTTATCTCCCGCCGAAACCTTGGCATTTCAATATGATGTAATATTGATGACCCATGAACGTCCGTGTCTTCCTTTGTCGCAGCAGGCTGTAGCTGACTGTTTCTCATAGGTTTCTCAGCGGAAGGCACCCCGACGTCCGGCCGTCGGTCGCCTCTATTGGATATCCGGCTTCAACGTCTGATCATCGATGAAGGACATGTCGCAAATGCTGAAAACAGCCGATTGAAGGACTTCGGTCTCCGTTTGAACGTGGAATCTCGATGGATTGTCACGGGTACCCCGACCAAGAACATCAAAGGGTTGAAAATGGGGTCGCATAGAAAGAAGAAGAAGAATGAGGTGCCGAATGGCGTTGACGTTGTTAACAGTCGGTTAGAGGTGAATACACCACCCTGCGGAATCAAATGCATATTTAACCCTCTGCTGCGTCAGTTACTTCTCTCGGATTCAGCTTCAAATCGTCCCCTCAGCGCTTGGAGTCGAGCACATGACGGTGACGACCTCAAGAAACTGGGAAATATGTTCGGATTTTTAATGGTTCCGCCATTCGTTGGTCTGGACGCCGCCTGGGGTCATGTTGTGAGCCGTCCACTTTTAAATCCCCAAGGTCCGGAATTTGGAGCTATGCAACGACTTCTGCGATGCCTTGAGGGTGTAATGGTTCGTCACAGGGCGGAGGATATCGAAAAGGACGTACCATTGCCAGATTTGACGCAAGAAATGGTTGTCCTCGACATGACAGAACACTGCGCTATGACACACAATGCCCTTCTAGCTCAAATCGCCATCAATGCCATCGATTCGGAACGGAAAGATCAGGTATTTGTCTGGCCTCCTGTGCTGTTTTGTAATCTCATGCGCCGTAGGATTATCTCTTCCATCCCAAGAATCGAGGCTCCCTTGGTTTGGTTATTGAAAATCTCTCTCAGTATGTGTATCAGTGATGCACCTACATGAGGCTGATCCATGCTAGATCATTGTTCTGGCACACTGATAATGAGACCGACTATAACGAACGTGTTCGCACAGCCGTCAAGTCGTTGGCCACCGCTCATACACGGGGGGCTCCTGCTGAGGACATCGAGCTGATCGAGCGGTCTATCGGGTACCTGTGAGTACCAAAGGATGCAGACACTTCGTGGACTTTCTCACCCTTGATAGATCAAGGGCACGTGATAATGAAGAGTGGTGTTCCGTCATGGAGCGAATGTGGGTACCATTCGCAGTCAGTGATCTTCCCGTGGAGATGCGTACCTGGGTACGGTCGACACCATTGATTCGACCTGACGGGATCTGCTTGATCGAGCCCGAGAGAATTTCTCATATTCGAGGGTTTGCTGGCCTGGATCAAAGGAAGATTGTGGAGAATAACCTGAACGAATTAGCAGGGCTGGGGAGTGTTTACAACATATTTGACACAGAACTTTGGAATTACGTCGAGAACATGAAGGAATTCCGACAAGGACGACAAAAAAACAAGTCGCATACGTCATCGTCCTCAACATCCAGGGATGATGATGGCATGGCGGTGATGGCTGTCCAGACTGCATCGCCATCGACTGTGAATGGAAGCCCGAGCACGCCGAAGAAAAAGGGTCGAGGAAAGAAAGAGCCACCCGCGCCTGTGCTCATCGATCCTAGGTTTGAATCCTTCAGAACGTCTTATCCCCGTGAAATATACAACGCTGCGTTTCCATTGGGAGCACCTATGACGGAGACTACAATCGGTCCATCTTTATCTAACAAAGTAAACTATATCCTATCCGATGTGCGCAACTGGTTTACCACCCATGTTCCATGCTGACGTTAACCCCAGGTCCTAAAGTGCTGTACACAGGAGAAAGTTGTTATTTTCTCATCTTCTTCACTATCGTTATCCCATCTCGCAGAAGCATTCGAACTTTATCGCATACGTTTCCTGCACTTTTCCAATACCCTCTCCGTCAAAGACCGGGAAAACACAATCAAAACTTTTGAAACCTCGGACATCTATCGCGTTCTGCTTATGGAGCTCAAGCATGGTGCTCGAGGCTTGAACCTGGTTTCTGCGTCCAGGGTGTATTTTTGCGAGCCGGTCTGGAGGGCGGATGAGGAGTCCCAGGCGATCAAGCGTTGCCATCGGATTGGCCAGACGCGGCCTGTCACTGTGAAGACGTTGGTTACTCGGGGAACCGCCGAAGAGGAAGCTATTCGAATTCGAAATGCACACCATGAGCAAACACGACAGATGCAAGATGATCGAAGTATTAAACACTTTATAGAGGTTAGTCCGTAATTTGTGGTGACGACCGTACTAAGCGTGTTTGTAGTACCCGCAATTTGTAACGGGTCGTACACAGGAATGGCCACTGTTAAACACTTCTTTACTTCGCGTGCAGACCGACGAAGAGGACGGAACCATCCTACAACATACATCTTCACCTCTCCAAGTCAGCCCTGAGCGCGCGAAGAAACGCGTCAGAACGGAGGAAGACCAAGCTCAAGCCAGGGACAACATCGAATTAGACATCGTTCCGTCAAGGAAGCCGAAGAAAGGGCGGTTCCATATGACTTCCCCCCCTTCGGATGGTGATATTCCTCTACCGGCTACACCCAACGTGCGATTTGTCGAGCGTTCTCTGCCCACTCCGCCCGAAAGTCCATATTCCACTTCCCCAGCATCAAGACGGGCATTCCTAGCTGAGGGAGACGTAGATCCCGTCCCTCCGGCCGCACTCCGCAGCCCGTTACGCCTGAAGATCAAGGTCAGTCGCACCCGACTGCCGTCAACTTCGGCGGCGATTGCTGCGGCTGCCATCCCTGTACCACCACCCACAGGACTGTCGAACTCGACCGGGAGTTCCCAGTCAGCTTCCCCCCCTGTTACCCCAGCTGACCGCCTTGCCGAGTCATCCGTCCCGCTCAAGAGTGCTATGAAACAACCTGGAATGGAAGGATCGGAATATGTCGAACGAAGTCCAAAAGGAACTCGGTTTGACCTACCTGGGATCGTCACATTGGAGGAGATCGATATTGAGGACGATCAATTGATGGAGGATTAATCTGGTTGCAAGTTCGCTGTTTTATTGTCCCTATCATATTTGATATCTTGTTGCTGTCTAATTCTGCACATGTACTCATCCAATCCGCATCACTCTTCAATGCATTATCATTTCCACATCCTCAAGTACAGAAAGAAGCCAACCCTCACTAACTGCCCTGCCTCGCTAGCTAGCTAACAGATTGCTGGTTGTACGCCTTCGTTCGGGGCACAAGCGGATAAAATACCTTTATCCACACTCGACTTACTGGCTGATGGGTTGAATCATAGTTGGCATCCATTCAAGCATTAAACAGAACGGCATATAGGATGTGGTGGCAAGCGTCCGGGTAGAAGTGTTGACACAGCGCATCGAGGACTTCGGGGTGAAAGAGACCGAGGACAGAAGGGTCCTACATGGATGGGGGGACCGAAACGTCGTGAAGCGTGGACGGGATCCCTCCGACGTCCTTCGAATCTTCAGAGCAACGATCTTATCATGTCAAGGCATTCTCGAGCATAAAGTCATATCCGAACATGTCCGCTTCCTCGATCGCATATCTGTTGTCGGTCTTGGCCCATTTATGGCGCAGGGCGCACTGCTCGAGATCTGCTCTTTTCCCCGCATCTTAGTCGCCTTCAGCCTAGCGTGAGATTTTGTGATGTACAGTTCAGGGGTAGAGTAAGAGTCTACCTTGACTTGTGGAGCACTGGAGATGTGCTCCGTTGTCGAATTTGGGGAAATGGCATTGGTTGACGCTGGGAGTGGTGTATCGGCACTGGTGTGTCCGCTGCCCTCTTCTTCGCCACGAAACGGCTGCATTCTTTGAGAGCCATTCCCGTCCCCAAACGATGTGTCAAGCGGGGCCGTAAAGCAGAATGCTCACAAGACGTTCCCATACTAATCCCACATGTTTGACCAGACTTTTCTCTCCTCTATCCCCGAAACCATTCACGTTCTTGCCATAGGAACGCGCAGCAGACGAGGCCTGCGCCACTGTCGGCTCCTCGACAGCGGCTCCTCGTATCGGACGATGCACTGGAAGGTCGTGCACAAGCAAACAGAGCATTAGATTGACATTCGCACATGCGGGGAAACTAGACAGGAAAAACCTGGAGGGCAAGGCTCAAGGCTGTGTGCAGCGTAAGCTCGTCCGCAGAGAGAGCTGAACACACACCCAACCAGCCAACTAACCAACCAAAGCCTTCCATTTCCATTCTCCGAGCAACTCCACTCTCGCGTGCCCCTCCCTCTTCCGCCCGCCCTTCCGGCTAACGTTTGGTCCAAGTCCTCGCCTCCCTCGCCTTGAGCAAATTCGTCTTCTTCCTCTCGACCATCCTTGGATCTCTGTGCAACAGCCCAGCTTCCGCCAGAGCGCCCTTCATCTGCGGAGCGTGCAGCATGATAGCGCGCGCAACGGCGCTGGCGACGGCATCCGCTTGCCCTGTCGTACCCCCGCCACGGACCAGAGCGAAGATGTTGAATGCGCCAAGCAGACCGGTCACCCGGAGTGGACGGACGACACGCTCGCGGTCGAGGGTTTGGGTGAAGTAGGTCGAGAGAGGGGCAGAGTTTATGAGGATTTTCGATGTAAGGAAGTGTGTTGCGGAGGTGGTTGCGGCAGGGGTTCCTCCTTCCGCTGTAGACCGTCAGCACGGGACGCAGAACAGTAACACAGGCATGAACGTACTTTGCGGACGAGCAGTAGGCAGCCCAGGATCAGTAGGGATCATCCATGCTCTCGCCGAGCTCGTCTTCCTCCCACTATGAGCATAACTCCTTCCATACGCATCCAGCTCCCCCCGTTTCCTCTCCCCCACAGTCGCCTCCCCTTTACCAGTATCAAACTGGCGCACCGCGTCCGATAACCGGTCATACATCTCCCACAGCCCTGCATAGCGCGCTACACCCCTAATCCGAGCCAGGTCGTCCAGCACGCTGATTAGCCGCTTGTACTTTGCTACACCGACGGGGTAGTCAAAGTCCGGTTTCGTATCCCGCATAGACTTCCACGTCGGTCGACTGAGGAATATCTCCCGCGCAATGTCCTTCGGCGCCGGGAGAAGAGAGAGAGCATCCAGTTCTCGCTTGGAGGTCTCATGGAGCTGCTGGAGGGTGTAGAGCGTGGTGTAGTACCTATCTCGTGCGGTGTAGAAGTTTGGAGAGGCGGGGATTATCTTTGGCTGGTTGGGTGCGGAGGGTGCGACGCCTCGCTGGAGAGATTGCGGTGGTACGAATGTTGCGTATGAGCGAGTGAATGATGTTGTTGAGCAGAGTATTCGACGTGGGGATAACATGGTGGACATGGTGGACGTTGGTGAATGAAAGTGCAAGTGAATAAATAAAATAAATTACATCGGAAGCACATTTTCACTTTCCATTTCAGGGCATTTCAACAATGAATTCACAACGTCTCGGTGCTACATTTTATATTTGAACATCTCATGACCAAATCTCGCATCCTCTAACTTGTAGCGCGTGTCCTCTCCTGCTTGAGCAACAACGCCCGACATCGATAAAATCGCTCGTCAAATTCGGCGTCTGATGTGTGGCTTGCAGTCTTATGTGCCTTCTGCGGAACAACGCTGGACGATGCCCCCTGGGAACCACCATGCGCATGCGACCGAGATCCATGTGCAGCAAGGCTTGTCGCTGCTCTCGCTGGGGTATGCGTGCTCTACCCACCCGGAGGTTCCTTGCCGTGAAGGCTTCTCAGCGTTTCTACAGTGGGCGAGCTTGTCCGCGATGGTTTGCACAGTGGACTTGATTCGACTCATGGCGCCTTTGGATGCTGGTGGGTTGTCGCGCGTTGTACTATGAGGAATGGTTGGTTTTTGTCAGAACCCTGTTGAAAAATGCACACAGAACATCGGCCCATCCCCTATCATCCCTTGAGCGCCTATGGAGTGATCACGCCCGAATGTCAGCAACCGAATCCTGACAATCACGGGATACTGACAAAAGGACGACATCGCCCAGTACATATCTCGTTTCCGGAGCCCTTTCTCTGCCAGAATATGGGGGATGGGCAACGATATCCAACGGATCCGGAACACGCACAATATCGCTATCTCATCATCCTCTCTTGCCTCCAACCCCTTTCCGCTACAGGAATCAAGCCGAACTGGATATGTGAATGCCACCTGGACATGGATAGCGACGATCCATAGAAGAATGGCTTCGGAAATGAACATCCGATCGGGAGTCGGCAAGTGGTTGTTTATGTAGAACACACTGACTTGGGGTTGGGAAGTGACCAGCACCTCGGAAGATTGGGGGGAATTGAGACCGGCTCGTCGGGTCTTGTTCATCGGTTAGCTATTTGTTTTATTTATTGACTATAAAGTGTGCGCCGAGACGGATTAGAACATGTTGAGTTGAATGGTCGAGGAACATGCCAAGCACAGTAACACGTCCCCCCCCCCCTTGGTCGTGTAGCAGAGAACTGAATAGAGCCTCCAGTCATCATACGCGGTTACTTTCGTGCGTTCAATCCTCCTAGGACAGCATAACATACAGTTGACAACAAGCTAAGATTGGCACAGGTCAAGTTGTTTGCGATGGTAGCAGATTGGGATGAGCCGAAACGTTTTCGGCTCCGGAATCACGTGGATAAAACCGTCCTGTACATAATTCACTGACTCAAACACGAACAAGTACGGTGGTAAACCTCCTGTTTGGAGATTGTATCGAGTGGGAGAGTATCTGACCCAAAAAAGGAACTTTTACTTTCCATTTTAGGTAATCAAATTCACCAATAGAGAGAATTCACTAACATTATAATACACACCTAAGGGATATATATCCTACTATAGCCTTCAACACTGAGTACAACCATCAGCACCATTCTACCAGACAGGAGAACAAAGACTCACCTCTGCCTACAACAAGGACACGTGTGCTGACCTCGGAGTACAAAACGAGCCGCGATCCCAGCACGGCACTCGTCGCATATGGCCAGGCAGCGACAAGGCCAGCAGACGATCTGCCTCGGTTCGGAGAGGCACACCGCGCACAGGAGTGAGGTTTCGTTCCCGCTCATGGTGGGTGCTGGACCGTCGCTGGACCGTTGCTGGAGGATGAAAGACCGCCAGTCGTCACCTTCTGAGGAGGGGAGGAGGGAGCGGTAGCCCCTGCGGGTGAGGGCGGTGGTGGAAGAGAGGTGGGCGACGAGTACGGGGGCGAGCTGCGTTTCGCCTTGGGGTTGGGGTTGGGATGTGTCGGATGGGCGCAGGAGGTCGGTGTACAAGAGCACAGAGTCGTCCACTTCGTCTTCGTCGTCGTTCTCCTCATCTGCAGACTCGCCTTCGTCGCTGTCGCCGTCGTGCGGGTCATCATGCCACTCCTCGTCCTCTTCGTCGTCATCCACGATCCCAGTCAAGAATCGTTCATAAACCGCGTCCTCATTTACCTGCTCGACCCCCACACCCGTCACACCACCCACACGCACACCCTCCGCTCCCCCATCTACACCTCCCACCGTCCCCTCTCCCCCCTGCTCCTCCCCTCCTTGAAGCGACTTCTCGACCCACCTCCCTACTCCTCTCCCCAACCCTCTTACCACCTTGCCCAGCTCCCGCACCGCTCCCAACCACTCCCTGACAGAGTACACACTCCCCCCCTTCCTAACCCTCACTGCCCTCACTTCCCTCTCCCACCCCGTACCCCCCTGCCCCTGCCCCTCGGGAGGAAAACACACCTCCGCCCCTCCCCTCCCGAGCCAAACCTCCACTTCCGTCCTCCCAAGTTCTACCAACTCGTTCCCCAACCCCGCCCTCTGCCCCAGGTCCCCCAGCCCAGCCTGGGCAAGCTTCAGCAGCGCTACGCCCCAGTCGTCGTCCCACCCCGGCCAGGCCGCCTGGTGTCCAAAGAAGAGCTGTGGGGTGATATCCAGCGGTCCTGAGAGGAGTAGGTGCACTAGGAGGCGAAGGAGGGAGGAGAGGATGATCGATAGGAGGAAGAGGAGTTCGAGTAGCCCGCCGAGGAAGGAGAACACTGGGTATGCACGGGTTTGGATGTGCAGGACGAGGAGGAAGTGTGCTTGACCTAGGAGGCCGAAGAGTGCGCCGGGGAGGAGCTTCCGATTTGCCCATTTGCGAGAGAGGGAGAGGAGGTGTAGCGAGAGGAGGTGGGAGAGCGGAAGGAGGATCGTTAGTATTATATGGGGGTTGGGGCGGGGGTGAGGAGGGGACGGGGAGAGGGGGACGAGGGATGCATGGGTGTAGAGCAGGAGGCCGAATGGGAACTGCGAGTGCGGGAAAGGTTAGCTTAATGTTCGTTTGCTTACTTAGATAACGCAATACGTACGAGGTTAAACGACACTTCTCCCCCACCTCGACCCTCCATGTTTCCCAGAAAAGTCCCCCAGAGCATGGCAGCACACACGGACTTGTACGCACTCCAGCACACACTCTCGAAGGGCATCTTGTCGACCCACGCTGACAGCGCGCCACACGCTTGTATCACCAACCCCATTCCCGGTGCACCAGGTGCGGTAGTTCCAGTGCTGGACGGGGAAGGCGAGGGCCAGTACCCCGCTCCTTGAAGGGCGATAACGACCAGCACGACCCAGCTGCGGAGGAGGAAGAAGAGCGTGCCCGCACGCAGGATGAGGCGGGTCCTCAGCCTTCGGGGGTTGATGGGAAACGGCAGGGGGAGGAAGAGAGTCCACCAAGCTGGGGGGAATTGGCGTAGGGCACGACGAAGACGCGTACGGGGGATATGGAGGTTCTGGATGCGGTAGAGGAGGATTGGCTGCGGTGGGGTGAGTTGGAGAGGTGGTGAGGAGGAAGAGGACGTACCATGAGTATGTTGCTCAGCGCCCATTTGGACGTCCAGAATCCCACACCTGTGCTGGTTAACATATCCCTCGCTGCTCCCACTCCTGCTCCTGCTGCTACTCCTGCTGCTCCCCCTGCTTCTGTATCCCCAACAAGCCTTAGCACAGCACCCGCCGCAGTAGACGTCGACGAGTAGGTGTAGGTAGTGTTGAATGCGAGTCCGAGATTCGAAAGTGCGGATCTGGAGAGATGTTTGAGGAGTGATAAACCGGGTATTTGGGGGATTGATGAGATTGGGAAGAGGGAGAGAAGGGCGTGTGAGGAGGTGTTGGACATTGTACAGGAGGTGGTCGTCGCTGATATAGTCAATAATTCCAATTAGGAAATGATAGCAATCAGAGATGAGCTGATATCGAATGAAATAATTACTGCAATTGGCCTGCAATGAAGTATTTTCAAGTTAATAATCCACGGCGACGCTAACGAGGACATTCATTAATAATTATATTTACGCGCTGTACATTACACTCTGTTCCCTCGATCACACCGCAGACTGACGATCACGTACTGCCTTTATTTTATTACATTTCCGTTCTCCCCCCAATTGACTACTCTTTCAGTGTCGGATAAACGTACCACCCTCTCTCTCACTCCATAAAAAAGATAAATACACAGGCCAACCTCTGAAGTGCTGGTAACGTTCCTTTGACAGGTAACCCCATCCTTTCCTTCGTTAGTCGGAGGTGCTGGTCACTTCCCCCCTGCTCAAAAATGAAATTCCTCACACTTCTTCTTACATACCTTTTCGCCGCTCTCGCTCTTGCACTGGATGCAGCTGCCCAAGCGCCTGTGCGTCTTCTCCCCTGCGGAGTCAATCATACATGGAAAGTGACCATTCTCAGACGAAAGGCCGGTCTGCTACCCCCCCGGTCCGCACCTGGAAAGCAGTCGTACACGAAACCGTTCCACGACCTTGTCAAGATACACATCAAAGAGGGGAACTATCACCATGCCGCTGATGCATCAGAGAAATTAGCAGAGCAGCACAATCGAATCCGCGAGTCCTACAAGAAGGTGAACAAGCCGAGAAAAGCCGGTCAGATGCACGTTGCTGCACAGGATGCGCAGAAACAAAGCGTCATGCTGCGCGCCAAGGCTACCAAGCTTAAGGCGCAAGAGCACCCCTCGAAAAAAGCTAACGGCGTGAAATACCAGGCCGAGGACCAAATGTTACTTACGAACTCGAAGAGAACAATAAAAGAAGCTAACTTCGAGAATGCGCCTAAGAGTAGTTAGCTCCTTGACGAATAGGGCTTGTATGGGCTTGTAGTTGGTCTTGTTCAATTTTCCCTTTGTGACATGAATGATTTGAAGGGAAAGGCCAAAAAGGCTGACAAGAGACGCGGTGCAGAGAATCACCATGTTGCATCATTCAGCTTGTCCAATTCGATGGTGTGCTGAAGCGCTTTAGAGCGTGATGAAGAGAAGTAACCTGTGACCGATGCACAACACTACTGCCACTCTCAACAATACCACCACCATTCTACGCCTACAAACGATGCGTGCCGTCGTCCAGCGTGTGACTTCTGCATCAGTGACTGTGAACAACACTGTCATATCCCGCATCGGTCGCGGTATGCTCGTCCTCGTCGGCATTGCCGTCGGTGCGCGCCCAGTCCTTCGTTAGGGGATGTACCTGACTTGGGTGTAGGATAGACGACACCCCCTCCGACTCGGAATATCTCGTCAAGAAGATACTCGGGTTGAAGCTTTTCGACGGCCTGCCTCATCTTTCTGAATCTTCGAGCGTTGAGGCCGGACAGGAGGAGACCGAGGACCCAGAAGGTGCAGGAGGGCGCATGTGGAAGAGGAGCGTGGTCGATATTGAAGGAGATATACTCTGCGGTCCGTCCCTTCCAATCCAATTCTCGTCCTCTCCTACGTCTCCCAACTGGTGTTCTTCCCCTACTGACACGCACCCAGTATCCCAGTTCACCCTACTCGCCTCGACGACCAAAGGGTACAAACCGGATTTCCACTCTGCGATGCCCCCCTCGCACTCTCACACTTTCTACCACACCTTCCTCACCTCCCTGCGCGCTGCCTATGTGCCTGAGAAAGTGGGGGACGGACAGTTTGGGGCGAAGATGCTTGTTGGGGGAGAGAATGATGGACCTGTGACTGTTGTGCTGGATAGTCGCAAGTGGGAGTATGTGGATCGGCCACAGGGGAGGGGAAAGGGCAAGGGGTCCGCCTCGGGGTCGGGGTCGCCTGCAGAGAAGTCGAAAAGCAAAGGAATGTCGGGAGCGCGCACGCCCATCTCTGCTTCAACTCCTGCAGAGGGCGAGACTGACCTCTCCTCCCTCTCCCCTGACGACAACACCGTTCCTCGCAACCCAACATCTGAGCGGCGTACGACGTCCTCTCCAGGTCTGGTGGCATAGAGCAAAGATGTGGAGTATAGTTCGTTAGATCATCTCGATAATATGGTATTCTATACTCTATCCTGTCTATCCTGTCTTCTCGCCTGAGCTGTTCGCAAGTGCAAAGTGAACTCAGATGCAAGTACACCGCGATGCAGACTACAACATCCCCCCCACAACTCTCGCAAGCACCCTCGTGCCCCACCTTACCCTCCCCGCCGCGTCCAAATCCCGCTCGTCGACCCTCCTCCCCGCCTCCCACAACCCTTGCACCTCTCTCCCCAGGGCCTGCTGGAGCTCGCGCGAGCGGGTGGAGAGGAGAAAGGAAAGCTCGGTGTCCAGCTGCGCAGAGCGGGAATTGAGGTTCGTACTCCCGAACAAGGTTGCGTATGGCAGCTGTTCCCCAGCGACTGGGGAGAACCATAATCCTACTCACAACTTTTAGCAATTCCGCACTCCGTGGAGCGAAAACGGACCTTTAGCATGATATGTCCATCCTTCTTTTTCCCATTCATCAAGCCTCAAGACCTCTCCTTCCCCGGTCTGGTGGTCACCAGCCAATCCGGCTTTGCGAGCACGGGAAAGGAAGCGATGTTCGGCAATCGTGTAGGCTTCAGGCAGGCGGGAGGAGACTCCTGGGGAAGCGTAGAATCCGTTTGCCTATTTGGGATTAGCACGGTTAGGGAGGTGGTTATACGCAGAAGCGGAGAAACGCGCCTTTGGCCCTGCAGCGAGTATTCTAGTTGGGATCCTAGCTTTCAATATCGCCCGCTGGTACGGCTCATGCAACGCGAAGTACCCGCTCGTAAGGTCCAGTTTTCGCCCCTGGGATGCCGCTCCGCGTATGAGCAGAGGCAGGAGACGCTCTTCTTCGCGGATGTTGAAGATTCCTGCTTGGAGCACCGGACGGAGGTGGGTGTCTGCTTGCGTGTTGACTGATGGTGGTGGTGGGTGGGAGGACTGGAGTGCGAGAATGTCTCTCTCCGCGTGCTGAACTATGTGCGGGAACATGCATGCTGCGTTGGTCCATTCAAGTGCGTATTCACTCGGGCTATAAGCAGAAGACGACACCGAAGAAGTAGGCAACAGACGGAAGGAATATTGCGCGAAGGTGTGAAGAAACCGCAGACAGTACGCTGCCAGATCCGGCTGGCTGGAGAAATGTAGATAGCGGTCTTGCCGGTCGGTAAAATAGCTCGTGTTGAGATTCGCCCTGGTCTGTGTAAGCTTGTGTGCAGGAAGCAAGTGAGGAGCGTACCCGCTGAACATGACCTCGTCATCTACTCCGTACATTTTCGCATGCCATGTCCCCCAGCCTTCGTCGAACCTTCTCGGGACAAGACGTTCCATCAGCCCGCGCAGCTTGGGGGACTTGAACATCCGCACTTCGCATCGATCGGGAAAGGCACGCAGGAGGGGGAGGAGCAGATGAGCGGTCGACGGTCCGGGGCGGGTTGATCGACGCAGGTCGAGCAAGAGAGAGAGTCGTACTTCGGAATTGAGGGAGAGAGAACGGTGGAGTGTCTCTATCTGGTTGGTGTTAATTTTGCTCCAGATGTAAATGGGGACGTACAAGCTCTGTCTCCTCTGTACCGATGTACAACGACGATAAGAAGATACGCCGCCTTGCTCGCTTTACCATGTCCTACTTTACATCAGATACCCGTGTGGAAGGTGCAGTAATGGCGTACAAGCAGCGCCTTGTAGAACTGGCGAGGCTCTGAAAGGATAGTGACATCTTTCGAGGAGAGCGAGAACGTCGGATGAGCTTTTGCAAAAACTTCTGCAAGATGGGAGACCTTTCTTCTAAGTAAACAAGTACAGGGCTTGACAGGTTTGAATATGGTTGTAGGTCGTCCAGAATAAAAAGCAAGTCGCATTTGAGTATGAAGAAGATGCTGGTGAAAGTTCCTCCCCATCCTGAGGCACATCTAATATGAACAACACGTGATAGGGATTTTTAGCGGTAAATAGTGTGACAGAGTAAACACAGTAGCAATACAGATAGAATGAGAATAATAGATGCTACCACAAACACACGGACAAGAAGTTATATAGGAGCACACGCCGCATTCATTGGGGCACGTCCATTTGGCCCTGCATCGGCACTTGCATCTGGACATGACCGCCGGTGGGGACGGCCGGATCGCTCGCCGTCCCTTTGCTCTTCTTCGGTCTTCCTCTCGGCCTCTTGGGGTTCGACTCTCCAGTCTCGCCATTCCTCCCTGTGCCATCCGGCAAGGTCCCAGCAGTGATGCCCTCAAAACTCAGCTCTCCAGTTCCAGGCACCGCCCCTGCATCCCCATGCTTTTTGGGTCTTCCGCGCTTCCGTTGCTGCGAACCAGATGCAAGTTGAGGCTGGGCAGCACGCCGCTTCTCTTCGAGTATTATGGCTGCTTTCTCGTTCAACGTGTCCTGCAAGCTGGGGAGAGGTGGAAGCTCGAGCTCCTGACGCAATGCGTCGACTGTTCCGCGCGACGGAGCGTAGTCTCCGTCGGTTACGGTCGTGATGGTAGTTTGATATTCTTGGATGCTGCGGTGCAACTTAGTCCTATATACAGGCAAGATAAAACTGTGAGGAAGGAACGAACCTTCGACCGAGGTTCGCTTCAGCCAGATCGACCCTCTCCCTATCGAGATTGACCTCCTTCAGTGCCTCCAACAGCCGCTCACGCTCGCTCTCAAGCCAATTCTTCTCGGATCGGACATCTTGAAGCGCCTTCTGCTTTTCCTCGAGAGAGGCTTGCGCGTTGACGATATCGGCGGTGTGAATCTGCAGTGCAAGGGTGTGTTTCCTGTCAAATGTTAATATGTGTATGAGTGATTGACAAGGACAGAATAGATGAAGTGATATGAGATACATACTTGAGTTCCGCCGTTTTGGCAAGCTTGAGAAGTTGTTGACTCCAGTCTGTGCCAGGAACAGCAACTATTGGCCCTTGCGACTCGGGGTCCGGCACCGATGTCAGATAACTCGGCCCCATCGTCTTCGATGATGACGCTTTTGGCGCCATAATTGGATTGGTGAACAGAATTCCTTTCTTTCTAGATGAATTACTGTGTATGTTGATTGTGGTTCTGTTGGATTAACAGCGCCGGGGACGTCCTGGACGATGGACGATGTTGAACAGCGGCGAGGCGGGTCGAAGCGGTAAAAGTAGAAAATCGCTCCTTGCTTCCGGGGTCTTGCAGTACGGGGTCCATCAACAACGCCACATTGGACCCTTACACCGCGTCTGCTCGCTGTCCCCTAGCTCGTGAGAGTAGGGTTCTTACCCGGGTCGACTCGGGATCAAAACGCTGGCAGTAGAAAGGCTATGGTAACTCCATGGAAACTTGTTACTTTCCTCATTTGTATTTAGATTCCGTGTCATTCTTGCATTAGAGCTAGGGTCTTGCCGGCGCTCAGCACGACCTTTCCTCTAGTCTGCAAACACTTCCTCATCGTCTTTAACACTCGTTGGCACCATCAATGTCCCGTGTATTCATCAACACCAGCATGGGTGACATAGAAGTCGAGCTGTACACCCAACACGCGCCCAAAACTTGTCGAAACTTCTCTGAGCTCGCCAAACGCGGGTACTATGATGGCACAATCTTCCACCGTATCATCGCGGACTTCATGGTGCAAGGTGGGGATCCGACAGGAACGGGCAGGGGAGGGACGAGTATTTTTGGAGAAAAGTTGTGAGTATTTTTGGGACTGATTGTCATCTGCAAGGAGAAGTGACGCTGAGGCATTGCAAGGGGACAGTGAAGACGAGATACACCCGGAGCTGCGGTTTGTTGGTGCAGGGATACTCGCCATGGCCAACTCCGGACCGAACAGCAATAGTCGGTGCACGTGCTCTTTCGCTGAATAGGAAAAGTTGACATGTGACCCAGGCTCCCAATTCTTTCTCACGCTCGCCCCAACTCCGTATCTCGACGGCAAGCACACCATTTTTGGTAAGTGGGTAGAAAAAGCGTCGCCGCCGACCCCACCCCCGCTTGTTCGTCCCATCGCTGACCCGCTCCGATGCAGGTCGCGTAAGCAAGGGCATCCGTGTACTCCAGAGGCTCGGCGCGGTCGCGACAGACCGGAACGACCGGTAAGCTCTCTTCCAACCCCGTCCCTTCCTTCTTCCTCGTGGCTCGGCCTACTCCTTTCACGTTGCCGGACCGAAAGACACGGCTGTTTTTGCTGATGCTTTTGGGGTGATTCCACAGGCCGAGAGAAGAGGTCAAGATATACAAAGCCGGCATCGTATCAGATGAAGAGATTTAGGGTGATGACGAGGTGATAGATTTGGGGATCAACCGAGTCGGCACGGGTAGGTTTGCATGGCGTTACTGTGTAAATACTAAATATAACGGCATTAACTCCGACTCCGCTGTTAAGCTGTCATGCCTCGCCGGGAGCGGCGCGATGCCGCCGATCGGCTTGGTGAGTTCACGGAGTACGATGCAAGCTGTGGTCCAGAGCTAGACCCAACTGTCCAAGGATACGACTGACGCTTGCTAAACCCTTTCCTGTGACGTTTCTCCGCTGGTGAAGAATGACAGGCTTGTCCGGAATGTCCCTCGGAAGAATTCATGAAAGAAATCAAGGCCGCGCACGGATGTTCATTTGGCACCGCCCCTGCTTAACAAGGAAATCGAGGGCGCTTCTCCACGCTGTAACTCCGTGCCAAACGGGCGCTTGGCTGCGACGCGTGGCCACCGGAATGAGGCCCAGTCATCTGCCCCTCGTTCCTGTCGTGCTTCAATAGTCTTCTGCCTCTCCCGATTGGCGCACTGGCCTCGCTATACACGGCAGGTCCGACAACACCGGTCTTGCTGCTTCGTATGCTGTACCTCAAGACATCCACCACTCATCGCCGGAGGAAGAGGGTCGTAACGGGATGACGAATTACAGCCTGTCCGGCTCGGCCGGCCTGCAAATTGTCTTTCGCCGCGAGGTCAAGGGGCCAAACAAAGTCGCCCATATATCTCCTCATTCCAAGGACAAATGACCTGCCCATCCCGCTTTCCCGCCCCACATTGTGCTGTACTGCCTTTCTACCATACAATTTACTAGCAGGATGGTCCGCTCACTCGCTATTGTGTTCTTCCTGCTCTTCTCCGCGCTCTGTGGCTCAGTCTCTGCGGCATCGCTCGAACGCGCTAAGCGTCTCACCAATGCGGCCCGGTTCCAAGCGGGCCTCCCGCCCCTCCCACCGTCGAAGCGAGAGTCGGGCGTCCAGCCTCGGTGGAGTAGCTCTGCTCCGTACGTCCGCTTCGCATCTCCTACCAAATTGCCTCTGACCTAGATCCCACGGATAGTAACTCCTGCCCTGGCAAGACGTACGTCTCCATCTGGAAGTCCGGCCAGAAGTTTGCCCATCTCGGGAAGCACGTCAACGCCACCACGGGCAGGTTCGACGTCATCACCACTGCTCCCAACCAGGGCTCGTATCTCGAAGTACAGACAACCTTCGACAGCGCCGCGCATGATTTCAAGCTGACGAACACGGACTCGACCTACTCGTACCTCGGACTTGCGGATCCCACCAACGGCAGCATCTCCGAGCTGGGGTATGCGTACTTGGTCGCCACAGCCCAGAGTAAGTCATCTACATCTAGAAACGTTCATTGCTAACGATTGAGGGTAGCTGCTGCTGGTGCAAAGCCCACCAAGGTCGGCGACTCCCGCACTGCGTCCAACCCCGATTCTGTCTCCGAGTCCGCCATCTGGTCCGTCACCTCCACCAAAGGCTTCTACCCCATCTTCGTCAACTCGGACGGTACGAAGACTAGCGGGCAAGGAGTGGTCAAGCAGCTTTCAAGCGGATACGAAATCGAGTTCGTCGGCGACTGGGAGCTGTTCAGCCAAAGCTCGGCTGGCAAGGACTTTGACAAAGCAGACTTCTACATCGAATGCGCCTGGTAATCCCCAATCCTCGATCCCCCATCAAATTCGTTCTTCTAATGGATGCCTCAAATGGACTAACGTACTTACGCTCTCTACGCTAACCTCTAGTGACGCTCGCTTTGACGTCGGAAACAACGGACTACTATGTATATAGGTAGCACTAATGGGTTGTAGTAGACCCAACGACCCCCTGAAATGAACGGATTTTGGTTTTTATTATCAGACTGTGCTTCTACATAGACATTGCTCCATAAATGGATGGAGTGGATTAGCGAGATTGTTCGCGATTGCCGTCATAAGGATATGAGTGAGAGCGCAACTTTGCCTACATCAGCCAGATCACGTCGTTCCCGGAAAAGTTGAAGAGACTTCGCATAAGTTACATTCTCCGGGTGTGTCTGACTCCGATCAGAGCTAGTTCCCTCGGTCTCGGAGAGGACATGCTTGAAGTAGGAATAGACATCACGGCCAAGATAGATACTTGGCAGGATCTGATTCGCTTAACTCTGGGAGAAGCGGAGAACCAAAGAAGAAGCTAATAGGAAGCGTTTCCATGCGCGTCTTCAAGGGCGAAGAGGCGGCTGAGCAGACAATGTACGGGCGAATAATGCTGGACGAAACAGAGCAATGTTCCCACTCTCACGATCTTCTAGCCTTTCAGGATGTCGGTAGGAGGTTCAACCGAGCTGTGGCTGTCAGTATTGTGCTCTAGGACTTTATAAACCAGAGGTTGCGAGATCGGACATGCTCAGGCGGGAGAGCAGTCGCCCCGCGCCTCCCTGACGAAGCTTAAGGACGCCCCCATACCCGATCGGGTCAGGCAGCGATCTTTCCGTGAACACCTAAGCCAAGCAGAAGCAGCCCAGGAGTGGCAGAAGTCGTCGTACACCTGGAGTTGGGGGGGACAATGTCCGGATCTCTGGGGAGGCAGGGATGGGGCAGCGCGAGCGAAAGATGAGGTTAGATCAGTTGGGTGCGAAACCGAGCTACATACATGCAATGTAAGGAAAGATGACGGCCTTCAATCGAGGGTTATGAGAATGTGCGGTGTTGGCGATCTGAAGGGTGGAAAGGTCAAATACGAGAATCGGCACACGAACGCGCAAGGCCTAACCGTGCAGTCATAGGCTGCAATGTATTACATACATGTACGACAGGGAACGAGAGAACGCGGCAAACTTAAGCAAACTGACGGAAGCGAGAACAAGGGGAACGCACAGAACCCAGTCCAGTCCATTCTACTCGTCGCACGTATACGTTGTTGAAGAAGTCAAAGCACCGATACACCGGGGGCAAGGTCCAGCTCTGCTGCCCGACTCCCAACTCCCACAGTAAGGGCAGGCACAGCTCCCATCTCCTATCTCCCCCTTCCAAACTCCACTCCTCTTGAGGGAGCGAAGCGCTCACCCTTCCCCCACTCCCACTCCCTGCCCCGCCCCCGCCCCCGCGCCACCCAGCTCTCCTCCAGCCGGGGGAACAGGAGCAAAAAGCACGCTTTCCCCGCCCGGGGCTGTGCTTGGAAGTGCGCTCGATGTGCCTGTTTTGCGTCAGCTTTGGTCTCGTCATAGGAGTGAATAAACGAGGGAGGAAGGAGCAGGAGAACAACAGCACGACGGAAGCGAGCAAAGCCCCAAAGACCGATATCCAAAACCCAAAAGGACCAACTCACCCTCCTCCTCCCCCACGCCAGGCTCCTCATTCTTCCTCCTCGAATTCCTCTTCGCCCACCTCAAGCCACAAGCGTTACACAGCGTCTTCGCCCCCAAGGGTCCTTTTCTCCATTCTGGGGAATCGGTACGGCCGCACATGACGCATACGTACGTTTTCTGTTTTTCTCTGTCGGCGGTGCTGTGGGTATTGGTGTGGGTACTGATGTTGGGGTTGCTGGGGTTGGGGTTGGAGGAGTTGGTAGTCCTCTTTACCCGCTTGCGTTCCCCTTCCAACCCAGTAGGGGGCTCATCCCGTTTCACCCCCGCAGAAACTCCACCCGGCTCGAGGTAAAGAGCGTTATACGGCCGTTCCCTGCTGGTACTGTTGTTGCTGGTAGTGGGGGAAGAGAGGGAAGCGAGCCGTTGTCTGAGGTGTTCGTTTTCTATTTTGAGGTCGAGGAAGGAGTCAAGGCTGTGAGGAGGGTTAGCCAGGAGTGGGGAGAGGGGAAACAGTCGATAGTCAAGGAGAAGCGAAGGGGGACGACGGACGATGCGAGAAAGGAAGAAAGAAGAGAAGGTAGGATAAGGACGTACAGAGCCGCCGGCTTGGAAGGGTACGGTCTAGCCATTGCAAAAAAACACTGATATCCCGCATACTCCCCTCCTCCCGTGCCTGTCCCCGCCCCACCTCCCGCCGCTCCCGTGCCTGTCGTCCCACTGCCCTCTTCTCCCGCGCCCACACTAGCGCCCTCCCCCTCCTTCAGCCCCATAAAATACGGATGTCCCCTGACCTCAAACAACGGCGTCCGGTCGTCTTTTGCCCTAAAGCGGGTGTAGGCTGCCAGCTCGGACCGGGTGGTGATCGCGTGGTGGATGTGGGCGAAAAAGGGCTGGATGTCGTCTTCTGTTTTGGGGACATCGTTCGGCGTAGGATCGTATGATCGATGATCGTATAGCGCACATAACAGGACGACGGCGCATAGCACACCGAACCAAAGCAGAAAAGAACAGAGCAGAACCGGATCAACTCAAGCGCGTATAGTAGATAAACGGACGTACGATGCAACAAATGGACCAAATTTCTTTCCACGACTTCCTCCGCCTCCCAACCCAGGTACTCCCTCACGCACCCACTGACAAAGACGACGTTCCCCCGGGGAGAGAAGACGAACTGAATCGTCCCGCTGAGCTGGGAGAGAAGGAGGCCACTCCAGCCTTTACGTTTTGTAAAGTCATAGATGTGGGGAGTTTCTTTGTCTTTGTCTTTCTCCTTCTCCTTTTCTTTTTCTTTTTCTTTGCTGGTTGCGGGTGTGTTGTTGGGGTTGGAGTTGGCGCTCATACTCCCAGGAGTAGGCTTTTCCTTCCCCTCTGATGAGTTCATCCCCTTCTTTGTAGTGGAGTTGACAGTAGGATGAAGAGGAAGAGTAGGCAAGTCTGCCATTCCAAAAGGTACGTTGACGTTGTAGGCCATTCAGAGTTGAGTGAAGTGACAAAAGGGTTATTAATTAAAGGTCGATCTCATCCGCATCACAGTCATCGGAATTACGGCGGAGGCATCGGTGGGTTGCACATATCGGGCAGGGCTTAACACCGACGGGAATCCGGGCAACATTTACACCTTGTATGATTGCTACTACTTTACCACGCCAAAAGAATCAAAATATTACCCCTCACAGCACATAAATAAATGATACAGTTAGACAGTTGAACACATCTTTACCTACTGTCTACTACCTGCCAGTGCTCTACCGAGGGAACGACGTTCTCGCCCACAGAGCTCAAACGCACAAACACGCAGAAAAGAGGAAAGGTGAAAGATGAAAGATGAAAGACGGAAGATGAAAAGAGAGATAAACACACATGCTCATGGGCTGGCATATGATCACCACCCGGCCTTGCCCCTGCCCCACCTGCACCTGTCACCTGTCACCTGTCGTTGTCAGACCCTTAGACAGAACACTTATCCCTTCCCACCTGCCCATTGTCATTAACCTCCCCCGCCTAGCCCCACCCAGCCCTAGCCCTAGTCAGGGCCAGCCCTGGCTTGGCAGCGCCCCCTCCGATCGGTGAAAGGGAAGGCTAGCGGAAGCGAAAAAGTGCGGAGTTTTGGTTCGTGGCATTTTTGGTTGGTAGGGGGTTGCGCTGGTGGTTGGATGCTTCGATCGGGAGGGTTGCGCTAGGGGTGGTGATATACCTGAGTTGGGTAGGGTAGGGTCGATAGGGTCGCATCCCGCTGCCAAAAGAACGGACCCAGGGGCAGCAATAATAGAGCAACCAAGAGCACGCAAGCATCCTACTCCTCCCTCTTCGCCCTCGCCCTCGCCGACGCCGACCGCGTGCTCATCCCTGACGGCGCCCCCGCCCCCGCTGCGGCAGCGGCAGCAGCAGGAATGACCTTATTCCCGATATCTCTCTCCAATTTCCCTTCTTCCATGCTCAACTTCCAGTGTCTGCCCAACCAATTCTTGAACTCCTCGTTAATCCCCAGCCATTCCGCGTTCCTCACCAGCCCGCCCCAGGTCACTCGGCCCTCGCGCATCGCCTCCTCCAGATGGGGCAGCGCTGCAGGGCCAAAGTACATCCATTCCAGGATTTGGGGAAATGAGTCCGGGTCGGGGAGGTCGATGTGTATCCTGGGGTTTGCCGCGTTGGACAGGGAGAGCTGGAACGGGTCCGCAGGGCGGGGCAGGAAACGGTAGGCCGCGGTAGGGTTGGGGAGGTCTTTTGTCGGAGGACCGGTTTTGTCTAGCGAGCTGTAGAGGTATCGGATAAGCGCGCATTGGGTGAGGAGGTACTCTTTGTGCACGTGGTAGGTGATAGACTCGTCTTCCACTTTGTCGTCGTCGGCTCGGCGCGGGCGGTCGGAGGGTGTACTGGGGCGGCGAGAGCCGGAGGGACCGGGGGGAGGGTACGGCGCCCAGTAGTCGCCTGGGTAGGGGGAGGGCGGGTAGGGCGTGAAGTCGGGCTTGAGCGCGTAGGGGGATTCCCGGGACTTGGTGGGCGACCCGCCGGAAGAAAGTGAGGGGAACGCAGGGGGAACACTGTCGCTCCTCTCTCTGTCTCTTTCTCTTTCGGGGGAAGCGGGTGCAGGCTCGGGCGAGTCTTCCTGCGATGGGCGTTTCCTGCGCAGCTCCTTTTTTTGGGGGAAGGTCGGCTCCGACGGGGAGTATCGTGCCGAGTCTGGAGAGGGCGACCGGCGGTCTCTTCGGTGCATTGGAGGCCGGTGGTGTTCTCGTGGGGGGTAGTCGTATTCCCGCATAGGGGGGCCATAGGGGTACATCGGCTGAGGAGGCCAGTATGGGTATCCGTACGGTGCTGGTGGGCCCCAGTAGGGGGACATGCGCGGGTCGGGGGGGAATTGACGGTAGGGCTCTCGCGGCGGGCTGGGGCGACGGTTGTTTGACGCCCGAGGGATGGGTTGCGATGGTTGTCGTTTGCCCGAGCCAGGGGAGGGGATCACTGGTGATGATGAGTTGGAGCTTGACCTCCCGATAGAAAGAAACGCGAAAAACGCACCTAGGACCATGTTTGCATTCGCCTCGTTGCGCCAAAAGAGATGGGCGTTCTTCTGCAGGCGTTCGATGACAGACTGAAGTGACTGTCCTCGCAGCCGATCTGGCAAGTACCAAGTGAGGGCGTTACTGTCCACCCTCCCCTTGCCTTTCTCGACCGATATCGCTCGTTCTACCTCGGTCTCGTCGTCTGCCCCTCTCCTGGCTTGGTCCCCCATCGTGGTAGGGATGAAGCCGTAACTAGGGTATGGGGCTTGACGCGGTGGGTCGTGTGATCGATCGTTGTTGCGGTTTGGTCGAGCGTCCATATCAACATCGTCCTCGTCGTTGCGGGACATGATATGAACTGGGTAGGTAACCTGTCGAGGGGGAGGAGGAGGGGGGGGGTGGTGGTGGTAGAGGGACAAGGAGGCGGTCGAGGACAAAGATGGATTGTTTCTGTCGCGGTTTACAATATTTCCGCGCTGTTGAGTGGCGGTGACGGATACAGACTGTCCTCTTCCTTGTCCTTGTTCAAAGTAGATTTCACTCTTCATTAATTGGTCATCATCTTCAGAGTCGGGCTCAGGCGTCCACGGTCGATAAGGCATAACGTCGTCAATCGAGGTGTTCTGTTTGGATGGTGTGGAGAGACTTCGTTCAGGGGGTAAAGGATATGGTTCATATACCTTTTCAAATCGTCCCGGCCAGTGAATGAAGCACAAAACGGGACCAGGAACTGGCCTTGTTGACAGGGCTTGCTTGAGTTTATGTTCTTTCTTGTCCTCGTTGCGGGCCTGGTTACAACGTCGCAAAAAGGAGATCTCATAGACTTTGCGGCCAAATACGTGTCGAGGATGTTTAGTACGTACAAGAAGAAGGGAGATACGAGTCGAAGAGGTAGTACATTCGTCCGTCCCTCCGTCCGTCCTCGTGCTGACAATCGCGGCACCTGACTGAAATAGGGGTACTTTTCTGGTTTGGCTTTGTTGGGGAGGGAGAGGGAAACGGCGGACCGCTGATCCCCCTCGGATCGCCCGCGGGACGTAACAGAAAAGAAAACAAACTAATTAATGTTTTGCGGGCGTACATTCCATCGGACCCAATTTATCAGGGCACGCTATATCGATGCTCCAACCTTTGTATCGATCCACCAACCCTGGAAAAAAGACTTGGTACAGAGTTTGGTTAGCGTCTAGAGAGGTTGCTTCTGAAGCCATTCAGCTGACTGATGTATGGGAATGCCGTCTAACTCTGTTCAAGTTTGCTGACAATCGCACTCATGTTCACGGCTATTCAAGGTACAATTCAACAAAGCATTCATTCTCCGGCAACCCGGTCCATGCTCCTTCGGCAGACCAACAGCATCCAATCACCTTCACCCACTCACCTTGCCCCTCGACGTGGCGGTTCTTGTTGGCGATTCTTCTAACTGAAGCAGTCTACACCTCCCGGATCAGGATCTCTCAGTTCTTGAGAGCAAAGCACTCACGGATATCGAAGGAAAGGAACGACTCGCCATTACTGGCGCCAAAACATTCCCCATCAGATTGAAGGTCGCTCACAGGTACGACAAGCTTGCTGCCGGTATACTGTTGTCTCGTAAGTCCCGGGACCCGTATCTGAAGAGAAAGCAGACGTCAGACCCCGTCCAGAGGATGACTTCGCAGTCTCCGTCGGTTTTGATCAGCTTGAACGAAGCGCGCGGACCGGGGACTTCAAGCGAGGCGTGCACGTCAACCTCAGCCGACTCCTGCGGGGAGTCGGGGAAACTCACAGTTGTTAGCGTTCGCTCCGACGTTCCCGACTTGGATGTACTCTTCGTACGTCTGGCAGCCTGATAAACGTCAGCCGTCGGTCGTTGCAATTGGGGGATGACGTACTGGTACCGGCGAAAGTGTCCATCCCGAAGTAGGCGCGCTTGATCGGTGTGGCCTTGGTCACCAAGAGGACAAGGGAAAGCGACGCGAGGAGCAAGATGGCGAAGTGCATTGTGAGTGAGCTTGTTACTTGCCTATCGAGAGAGTGTTGATTGCGTCGTAGGATTGGCAGCAACTCGCCGGCTTATATATGGTTTGAAGACATCTTAGTTGTGCCCCCAGCTCAGCAGCCCAGTGCTCCGACTCGACTCCAAGCCTAAGCCTGACCACCTTCGACCTTTCTTCCCCGTTCAAAGGGACGGATCATTCCGAATGAGCGAACTGTCAACATGTGTCCCAATCTTTGTGTTTGAGGTGGGATACAACGTGTGCAGTCTGGTACTGGTAGCGAAGAGTCTCTTCTCAAGGAGAAAGAGGTATTGCATGAATGGATACTATCATGATACTCTTGGCATTACGTCATTGAAAATACAATACTGTGATTTGCTTACAGAATTGGTGCCGTGCGTTCGTAACTTTTGGTATGCGCGAAGGCGGGGACACATGTATACCAAAGCGGAAACCCGAAAGGCTACCGTATTGGCTATTTGCCAGCGTCGTAATGGTTACCCCATCCAACCCAGGCCGCAAACCATGCCAAGACCGCCGGGAGTGAAGATCCAGGACTAGCTCATTATGATGGGGTGAGTCGACCATTATGAAGGTACTCGGCGCATCCTGGCCGGCCCTAAATCTGCGAAGTGGAGGGGTTCGCTTCAACCCGTTGTCTCGTGAAGACACGTGAATTTTGGCATTCATACATTCACGAGTAAACCTCGTTCACATATCCCTGCAGTATCGAACACTCTGGTTTGTCATGGATGGCATAGGCTTGCTCTATCTGTATTGCGCTGGCACTAAACTATAATGTATCAGAATGCTTGGTTATTCTCGAATCATGTTTCAAGATTATCCAACCGCCTTAATTATAAGTCACGACAGTGCGACAGATCTCTTGACTTGCCACTCACGCTTCAAGTTATCCTTCTGTTTATCGTTGTTGATACGGTTGCACTCGAGCTTGCCTCCGCTTCCGTTTGGATTACCCGTCAACTTTGTGAAACCGTGCTTCAACAATCGGGGATGGCTTCGGCGAAATGTTCTCGGTGGCGACAATCTGGGACATTCCTACCTCCAGTGCAGTTGAAGCCCCTCCAACACACAAAAACATTTATAGTTACGATCACCATTGCAAGTACAATTGTCAGAGTACGCTTGCGCTAGCCATGCAACCCTCGGAAGAACGGCTGACCATATGCAGATGCCATCATACAGTCAGAATACCCTATCGTCCGAGTTTTCTTGTACACGACACGCCTAGCTGAAGCAGTCTACGCCGGTTATGTTAGGAGCTGTTCTTTTCGTTATGGAAGAAAACTCACGGATGTCGAAGGAGAGGAACGATTCGCCGTTGCTAGCACCGAAGCATTCGCCAACACTAGTGGGGCAGACCGTACTCGGGGTTAAGAAAGTGTCCATGCCGAAGTTAGTACGCTTCACAGCGGCCGCCTGCACCTTGAAAGGCACAACAGAGAGCATAGCGACGAGAGCAGCGAAGAATCGCATTGTGAGTATCGATCGGGTTGCTTGCTGGTCAAGGTCACAGACGAGCTCGCTGACTAGGTTCAGCCCTTGATCACTCTCCTCATATACCTTTTCGGCTGCCATTTGGTCTCCGTTGCTCGCTGGTCAAATTGGTGCCACAAAACGCCACTAGTGCCCCGATCAGTAAGCTTGCCATCTCTAGTCCGTAATGGATGAATATCACTCGATCTCTCGCTCCAAATCGAGAGCGATTTTCTCGTCTGAATTGCCGTCCCGGAGAGTGACAGATTCAGCGCCGGGCTGGGGTGGAACCACAAACACATGTCCCATGGAGGACCATTGATACAAAGTCAAGCCATCATCATGGAGAAATCGTCTACATTCTGACCATGTGCTTCATTTATTCGTATGTGAGTAATGCCGACTGGGTCGAGGGCACCGCTGAGAGAAGACACCGCATGTGCGGCGTCGGGCATAAAGATAACGTAACTTTTTTGATTCTATAAATTGCTTAGGTGCTTATATGGATCACAGGCAATGGAAATTGCTTACTATGAGCACGGAATTAATCCGTATTGCACTTGCCGAAGGTGCTGTCGATTGATGAATCAGACCAAGAAGCCAAAATATCGTTGCAAAGAAATGATATTGGGAGGGGTACTGTATTCGGGAGGTAGACAATATTGCATTTGAATGCGCAACTCACTAACGGGTGTTCACATCGATGGTCTGGAAAAGGCCTATGGACAGATCTCAATATCGCGATACCATGTGGAGAACAGTACAATATACATACATCGCGCAAAGTTAGACAGTTCATATTCAACCAGCAGGTCCCGTACCCAAATTAGTCGTGACTGTTAATCAGGCACGCTTGATCTCTCTATATGATTCGTGATGTACAGATTAGAGAGGCCGCATATTCAATGCTGCCGAAGTGTAAGAAGCAACGGCCCGGGGCACACGATCATGCACAGCCGCTCTGGGTTGCTCCGTTTACTGGATGTCTGTTAGTCTCCTCTTCCAGTCGAGATGTGGATCAGCTTTTCCGCCACCAACTGTCTTCATAATGCAGTCATATTGGTGTTCAACACTGGCCACGGATCCACTGCAACTAATGTGCCCCCTTCACCGAGAACATCCTTCAGTTAGCTGAGTCACGCGTCCACAACGATTCGAGCCTCCGCAGTTTAGTATACCATTGATGGTTGCAACAGCCATTACCACTACAAGTTGTTAAGGTAGGTTCGCACTAGCTATGCTACCACGGAAGAAAGGATGACCACATGCAGATGCCACGATACAGCCAAACTGACTTATCGCCCGATGTGATTCGCTTAGCTGAAGCAGACTGTACAACCTCCGTCAACAGCTCTCTCCAGCCCTTTCTGGACCAATTTACTTACGAATGTCGAAAGACTGGAAGGTAACCTCAAGAGGAGACGTAAAATGGACTCACAGCCAAGCGAACTCTGTGCCCTCCCTTGGATATGTGGCATGCAGTGAATATCCACTATGTAGGACAGTGGAAGGATACCACTAATGTACTAGTCAGACCCGCGAAGCACCCCGTTGTGCCCACATATGCGGTACTTTTGTTGCTATGTCCCGCGAGCCGTTCAATTTGCGTCAAACGCCCAGGTCAGTGCCACTCCTTTGTCTCGGTTACATCTTACTCCTTAACAAACTCACATCTGCCTTTGCTTTCGCCTACTTCAAGCTCTTAGGATCCTCCTCGCTCAACCAAATTTGACGATTACGTACCTGTCTTTCATGAATCGCGATTCTTGCAGCGCCAACGGCAATTGGCTTTCCCAAATGCATGCGAAGAGCTGCGACCAACCCCGTTGATGGATTACGACCTCGCGTTTTACGACCTGTCTGTGGGTTGGCTTGGATCGATCTGGATGCCAAGCCGTGCTTTCTGGAGTTTTTCCACTAACGCGGTCTCTTCTACACAATCCAACTCATCGCACATGACCTCATTCTCGAACCTGCACACAGGCGAGCTGCTCGGCGCTCAACGCCCCGGTTGGAGGTGCATCCTTGGAGATTTATACTCCCTCAGACGGCCATCTCACTTTGTGTGGATCCGCAAGGCGGGGCCAAGGAATCACATGGAGCTGCCGACCGTCTTCTCTCTGTTAGTCTATAAAACCTCGCTCCAAAGCAGCGTAATCTGCAGGGGAACTTGAGCTCTCTTCAGCCAACAGTCGCCTCTTCATCAGCTCCACATCGACTCGACAATCTAAATGATGTACTTCGCTGCCATCCTCGCTACTGTCCTCGTCGCCCTGCCCGTGGCTGTCAAGAGCCAGGTGCTGACTTTCTACGCATACCCCCAGACTAGTATGTTCAGGCATTTATTTATCATGGTGGGTACCTGACCCTGATGATCTGAAGACTGTTAGGGCGGTGAACAAGAAGAATGGCAGGGGGCTGGTCCTGGTCGTCATGTTGGGAACTTCGAGGCGCCGAGGTACTCCTTCAGTATCTGTATGTAAAGTTCGTTGTTGATTGACCTGTGTTTCACACTTCCATGCGACCAGGTCAAACTGACCACAGGTGCTACCTCGAGATCTACGAGGGTCTGAACCAGGGAGGTGGCTCCGTCCAGCTTTGGGGCGACCAGCCCGGCGACGGCACTTGCAGCTGGACCAGCCCCGACTACGGCTACTGGAGCTTGTCCATCAACTGCAACTAGTAAGTGTTGTGCTAAACCAATCGCATATGTCGCTAACTGGATGCGTTGCGCAGGGCGCGCTACCAATTGCTTCAGGTGCTACTAGAAAGGTTGTTCGAACCCGGTAGCTCCATTGTCTGCTGTGTGTCCAACTTAGGCAGTCAAAGCTCGTGTTATGCAATGTTGTTGTTCTGTTCGCGTGTCCCGCAGAGATCTATTCCGATGTACGGCCTGCATGTTTATCTTTCATAAGCCGCTTCGGACATCGCAGAGAGCCACTTTTCGGGAAGCGTGGAAGCCGGAAAAGAAACACGTTGGTAAGGCGACGCCGTAACATGACACGTAATGCGGGGTTACAGCTTCTCCATATCAATCAACACATCGGTAGCCACTTTGCAGTCGTACAACACATCCAGCGGATTGGGAAAAAAAAAGGAATGGAATTACAAACAAGCTCTTCCTCATGAATCAGGCAAAGCCGTTCTTCTTTTATGTACGTCGTAAGCTTTTCTTCAGCAAAAAAATGGATGCAGGAGGAGCCAGTGGTAGTTTGGGGAATCACTCGAATTTCCTTTTCGTCTTGCGTATCACCAGTGCGCCACGCACGGGTGCGTGACTCGGGTGCCTTTCTGCCGCTTCCTCCTCCGCGCCTCCAAAGAAAGGTACCAGTACGAACGTTTAGGAAGACTTGATGTCCTCCTTCTGCCCTTCAGGGCTTGTCTCGGCCTAATGATCACGCGTGTCAGAGACGTCAACCGCCTTGAAGAAGGGATTCCGGTACCTGATGAACATCCTTCTCGACCTGCCTCTCGTGGGTCTCGTCGGTCTTCTCCTCACCGCCTTCCTCGCTGCTCTCCTCCTCTGTCTCTGCCTCCTCGCCCACAGACTTGATGATCACGTAGTGCTCCGAAGCAACGGTCTCGCCATCAATGGCCTCGACCTCACCCTGGTAACTGCCCTCAATGCGTCCGGGCGTGCCGCGCTGGCGCTCAGCTATCTCCTCGACCTTGTGCGAGCGAGGGGAGGATCCGGTCCAAGCGCCGAAGAAGTTCATACCGACGAGGGTGGAGATCATGCTAAGGAGCAACGTCAGCCTTGTGCTAGCCTTTGACGCGGAACGAGCTAGCTCACCAAACACCGATGAGGATGGACAGGTAGAATCGGTACTGGCTGAACCACCTTGGTGTCCAACCGGCGTTGGTCGCCTGGAGGTCTGCATACCACTGTCTCACTCAATCAGCACGGTAATGTTTGTTAGACGCCCAGATATCGTACCATCGCGGTGAAACCGAACCATTGGAGTGCGAGGGCAAAGGTAGGCTCAAACGCAAGCGTGCTCCAGCCGAATGCGACTGGAGCCACACCGAGAAGCAAACGCTTGTAGCCTTTCTCGCCGCCGTATTGCGCAATCTCCATGCCCCAATGGAGGGCACCAAGGAAGGAGAGCAAGACGGCGCCGTAGGTTACTTGGAGGTGGGCACACCCGTTCAGGATCGCCATTGCAGTTTCCGGTGAGACGGTGACGCCTTCAAGAGCACCAGAGAAAGCCAACCCGGCTTGACGAGCGTAGTAGAGCGTTGCCGCAGCTGTACCGATGTAGGGGGCAGCACCTAGCGGATTGAGATATCAAGGTGAACATTCGGCAAAACACTGGGATAGAAGACGCACCAATGAGACCAGTATACAGCACCGGCTTCGGGACCTCTGCGGCGATGTTCCTGGTAATGGATGCCTATTAGAGGCTCATCAACAGCACATCCTCTGTCAAGGAGGAAGACCAGAGGCATACAAAGTCTTCGATCATCTCCTCCTCTCCACCTGAGATGCTTGAGGCATGTGTTTCGCGGCTCACAGATGCAGGGTCACCACCGGCGATGGTGCGAGCGATGTCACTTGCCACTGTACAGGAGAGGAGAATCAGAATTTGTCGTGGGTAAACATTCACTCTGCGAACCAGCGCGAGCCTCCTTTCTTGCGCTGCTCATCTGTGCCAAGCCTCAGAACAATAACAACAGACGGAGACAGGAGAGTAACACACAGCGGGCAGTAGTTCCTCTGCGGGGCGAGCGTCTGAGACGGGCTTGGCGGGTCCTTTGCTGTCTGCAAAGTGGCGAGCGAAGCTAAGCTGGTACGAGAGCACTGCAGGAGGGGTGATGCGTGCGACTGAGATCCGTCAGCGTGCCTACTCCGGGAGTTGTAATAGATATATGCGCACCTCGCATGCCTACGGTCTGTGAGGGATTATGCACCAGTCAGCCTCCCTCTAGTAGCGTCAATACAGCAGGTATGACACGTACCGGAGTGACCCTGCGCAGAGCTGGGCCAGCACGAAGCAGACCAAGTCTAGCGATAGGAATCATTGTTGGGTAGGTAGGCGTACGCCGGGTGTTGAAGAATGGATGGTGGGCAGAGGAGGAGGAGGAGGAGGAGGAGGAGGACAAGGTAAGGGAGCGACAAAGACGGAGTCCTTCAGAGGGGGGCGGGGGCTCAGAGCGGCAGAGATGCCTCTTTCGGGCAACTTTCGGAGCCTCTGATCCCGTCGTATCCCGACGTCATATGGGCAAGTAGTGGCAGTGCAAAACAACGCAATATGATCCCGTGGCCGCTACAGCACGGCGCCTCTTTCCCGTGGTCGGACCCTGACAGTATTTTTTTGACTTTTTGAGATGGTACGTCGGCGTAAATACCTCACATATTTGAACATGTTCTAATCATTTACATTCAACGATTAGATACGACGACAAGTTCGCGAGCGTCGCGAATATCTCTACCGAAAGGCACAGGAATCACAGGAACGCCAGACATGGGAGCGCAAGCAAAAACTCAAAGATGCGCTCGCGGCAGGAAAGCTCGTCCCAGGAGAGATGAGGAAGGATGCAGAGAAGCTGGGAAAGGATCTGATGTTCGATCAGTCGCAGACAGGTAAGTACTTGGTAGT